GCAAGAGACTGATTGTAGATGCTCGTCACGAGAGCTGTATTTTCTCCCTTTCGCCATCTCTCATGTGCTTAAAGGATAACTCTGGATGGACGAAAGGTATTTAGAAGTCCTCTCCCGTTCTCATTTAAGAGGGGTATAGTTTATAATTTTTTCATTTTATTTTGTTTCATACGTTTTCTTTTATTTATTTGTGAGAAGCATGGGGCTCTAGATATAGTTGTTGGGTGTCTGTGGGGTAGTAGATATTCCATCTGCCTTTAATCCCAATCCTAATATAGGCAAATCTGACTAGACCTCATGTTATTGGATGAAGCCTGTACCGTGGCTCCTTTTCTGCAGCCAGGTTCACTTGGTACCATTCTAGCATCTGGTTCAGAAGATTGTGGGATACTTTGGTCTCGTCTTCGAGACTGGTGGTGCAGTGGAGATGCCGACCTTTGGGTGAGACTGTTTCGGGTAAATTGCTGTACGCACACTAGCTGCTGCGTTTGCCTACAGATAGTTGATACACAAAATGACTGACGTCAACGATTATGATAGCATCAGTGTCAGACAAGGTGTGAAAGGTATCAGAACAAACCAACTCGTCATCTGGGCACAGCCATCCTGAATTACAATCAGCCTAGCAGGTCATATGTTCACACCTGTTGTGTGGATTAAGGGAAGGTTATTAAAGTGATTTGCAGTGCAGACAGAATAAAAATTTAGATTTTAATCAATGTGCCTCTTTCCAATATTAATCAGTGGCATTTGTTGCTCCTTCTCCCCGTAGGACCCTAGAAATGCAGTAAACTCCTGATACTTCATCGCTCCAAGGGGAAAGGGCTCAGTGACGAGTTATCAGGAGGGGAGTTAGGCATATGCATAAATCAAATAATAATAATAATCTTTGCATTTGATATAGCGCTTTTCACACCTTGCGACCGGGATATTGACAACATGATGATTACTTAAGTGGTGGTGACAAGTTAAGCCAGGGTCGAGTTATCGAGAGTTTACTCACAACAGAAGCAATTCTTCCCCTCTCTTTTCTCCTACCCCTCTTTTCCCTTCTCTCTCTTCTCCTACCCCTCTCCTTCCTTTTCACTGATGCCGGCAACAGCGTATTTAATATTCGGGGGTGGGGAAAAAAGAAGGTGGATTAAGCTAAATTCAATTGCGATGGCCTTGTGTGGCATTCAGTTCTCCATTCTCCCCACAAACTATCAAACCGCCATCAAGTGTCCCTGAGGACAAATCACTGGTGAGAAATGCAGTGCTCGCCTGCTAATTAAATATAACGCTGATTAGCAGCTGCTCTTTTTCGATCGCAGAGACCTGGTTAAACGCGCTTCACTCTTTGCCTCCGAAAACAGTCACTACACTTGACAGCATTTCCCTGTTGAGCACTTTGAGACATTTTAACCTCGTACTTTAGAATAATGTAAGCTTTATTGTTTTTCTGTCCTCCACGGAAGATGTCGGACTATTTTAGTATAGCTCCTCACATGCTCTCCATTCCATTACCTCTGTAGCTATGATTGATGTGTGGGCCTGTCCCACCAGCCAGCGACGGACATTCTAACTGGTCACTTTGCATTGACTTGGGATGTGTGACATTTCTGCTTTATGTGTTCACACTGCGGCGTGATTCACTTGGTCAGATTACATAATAAGCCTCTGCAGCATCTTTCACACAGGGGAGGGGGGATTCTGAAAGCACTTCATAGGGTTCACTACAAAGTGTAGTGACCGAACGCTCATTTTCGGGTCAGACCTTTGTTCCTTTCAGTTTTATTTTGGATTTATATATCCATATATACAATATTGCAGTGTTCATGTATTTATTGCTGTTCAATTGGTGTGAACGTGTGCTATATACAGACGTATACATATGCAGTGTGTGTATATTATAGGTCTACTTGGTGCCTGCTTCATCTATATGCTCCCTCTTGGTGATGTCATCTGCAGACTCGGGGTAAACTTCCACATGTAAGCAGATGACACACAAATCTATCTTGCCTCCTTCAGTATCGTCTCCAGTCCCGCCGATGTTTTATCAGCTTGTCTGGCAGGCATAGGGGCCTGGATGAGTGCAAACTTCCTGCAGCTGAATGTGAACAAGACAGAAGCCATACTCCTTGGGAACGTCAATGTCTTCACTCCTGCGGATTTTAACCTCTCAACCTAATTGGGCTCTCCTTCAGACTCATTGAACCAGGGCACAATCTAGACGTCCGGTTCGATCCCCAGCTGTCCTTCCTTCCTCACATCCCACCCCCTGGTTCCCCATCACACTCGTGTTCAACTCCCTGGAACCTCCCTACCTTTTTGACCTCCTCACTCCCCAATCCACCACCCGGCGCCTCCACTCAACTGGCACCGGCCTCCAGCTTGTCGCTTGCACCCTCCGCCCTACCATAGGAGGTTGCGCATTCAGCCATTACACCCCAAAACCCTGGAACGCTCTCTATCCCTCCCTCTCTCCCCTTTGTCAAGTCCCGCCTGAAAATCCTCCTGTGTGACCTAACCCTGCACCCCCCCCCGGAGTCGGGTTTCACCACTGTTAAGCGCTCTGAGACTCTACGTGGAGGGTACTATGCAAGTGCAAGTAGTAGTGCGTATTGTGTATGTGTACCTGTGTGCGTGTATTGGTGACCCTGTGTGTGTGCTGCTGGGTGCATGTTGGCACCACCTGCTCAGCATCCAGACAAAACTGCCTCTTCACAGCTGGATTGTGGAGAGCTTTTGATGGGGGGGAAGCAGATACATTCAGCAGAGATTAAAGGTCACAGGTTAGGCTGGTAACCTCTCCCTATTGTTGGAAACCCCAGCGCTATTTATCACCACAAAAATATTGTTCAGGTGATACCCGATCAGTGTTCCATACTCCCCTGCAAAAGCCATGTTTGTATGGAGTTGGCCATCGAGAACAGCCACTTGTTGATCAGTGTGTTCAGTTGGTCACGAAGCTTATTACCGTCCTACGGTGGACAGCCCCACACATCCAAGTGAACATTCTGAAGAATGTTGAGAATATGAGTTTTGACAGCGGGTATCGGGCGTGTGACAGCCTTGGTTTACCCCCACCTGACATTCGACATGAGGGTCTCTGAGCAGTGTTTAGCAACAGGACTGGCTGATTTTCTCCCCTTTCCCCTCCCCCCTCTCACTTCCCCCCACCAGTGAGGCCAATTCTAGACATGTGTTCTGTGGGGCAGGTGTGGGGGTCTGTGGTGCGGGGGTTAGGGGTGGTCTGCCTATACTGTCAGGTTATTAGATGGCAGCTCATTTCCTCACAAAACGGCCCGACAGTGCTGCTTGTTACAGGAGACAGCTGTTCAGTCCCAGTTCATTGTCTGTCCTCCCCTGCTCCTGGGTTCGGTTACATTTCCAGCATCTGAAAGACAGCAAATTTGCTAGTCCTCCCCCTCCCTCCCCCTGACAGGCTTTCCAGACACCCGTCACGTCTGCAGTCGCAGCCGAGTTTGGGCAAGCACTTGTAGTGGTTCATGATGTGAATGCTAAATGTAGTCTGACTATTAACTCAGCTCCAGCCCATGCCCCGTCTGTCTGCTCAGAGCTGCCTGGGCAGTGAGCGAGCGAGCGAGCGAGCTTCAGGCAACAGCAGTTAATGCATTGTTCTGCTGCTGCAGATCTTGTGACTCTTGTAACCTGCCGCTCCCTGACTGGAGAAGGAACCCTGTGTTAGAACACACACACACACACACACACACACAAAGGGGCTTTGAACCTCCCTTTTAACTTCTCGCTGAAATCCGAGCATTGGAATCTAGTCTTGCTCTGCGATAAAGGTTTGGAGGGTTCAAGTTCAAGCCTGTACCTCTTTCCTCTCTTTTCTCTCTCTCCTCCCCCCGCCCACAAAAGACACCATTGAAAAAAAAATTGTGAAGAACAGTGGCCGCTCTTTGTGGCTGCTGTGACTCGCTGGGCTGTGTGGGAGGAGACTTGGGAGATCTGGAATCCAGACTCTCAGATTCTTATTCCTTTCCATTGTTGTGCCTTTTCCCAGGATTTGTGCCTTCGCTCAGCACTGCCAAGAAATTCCATCCCTCCCTCTGGAACTGACTGGCCCAGACTGTGGCACAAACTGTTCCCACTGACATCACTTAAAACTGAAATTAAACTGGGCTCGGGGTGGGGTGGTGGAGGGCTCAGGTGCTGGGAGGAGGGCAGGGCTCAGGGTGGCGGAGGGGAGCAGGTTGGGGGAGAGGGCTGGGCTCAGGGTACGGGAGGTGGGGGGGGGATTGCAGGTGACTGTGTATACAGTGATTGTGGGGACCCTTTAGCCAGTGCTGTCTGGAGCGTTGTAAAGTTATTGCTGAGGCCCCGCAAACGCTGTAAAAGGAAAAACCCATCTTGTGTTTCTTCTGAAACCGACTGTTTCCATTCACCTCAGCAAGACGCACTGCAGCTGATTTATAACTGGAGCAGGGCTGGAATGTGCACTTTGAGCTGATTTTTTTTAATGAGAACATTTTACAGTCTTGCAGCTGCTTTAACGGTCCCACAGCCTCACTCCAGCAACAGAACCGCCTGTCTGGACTGGTGTGTCAGTCTGTGGCATGGATATATGCACACGAGGGTGCTTCTACCTGGCTGCAAAAGCTCTGTGATGAAGCTTATTAGCTTACAAAATACACAGTCATGACACTTTACAGTAAAACCAGTAAAGCGCTTTGACACGTCCTCCCATCGTGAAACGCGCTATGTCAAATACAAGGATTATTATCTGACTATCGTATAACTTGGTGTTTGTTCAGTCTTAAATGGATTTCAGCCTATTTAAAGGGGATAGTGGCTCTTCTCTCTGCTGTGTGTGAGTGTGTATGTAGAATTGTGAAGCACGACTCGAGATCACGTGATTTGAAACAGTTGTTTAAGCAGGGGTCTGAGTAGTACTAGCTGAGCGTTGGGCTGGGGGGATCTGCCCTGCCCAGCGCCTTGTTTGCTCCCAACATGGATTCTCATGCTCCCCCTCTCTCTCTCTCCTGTTACAGCGGAGTTGGAGTTTGTTCAGATCGTTGTGATTGTTGTGGTGATGATTGTAATGGTGGTGGTCATCACCTGTCTCCTGAACCATTACAAGCTCTCCACCCGCTCCCTGATCCACCGACAGAGCCACATCGAGAGGCGAGACGATAGCCTGCCTTCGGTAAGTCACCGCTCGGCTTCACCAGACCTGAGGGGTCCTCGGGTATTCCCGGGGCCCTATGAAGGGCTCTGATTGGGTAAATAGTCATAGATTATTTCCACTGGTCAGTAACAAAAGGGCACAAATTTCAAATTGTGAAGGGGAGGTTATTAAACATTCTTTAAAGAATTTTTAGGTCACTCTGGGGATTTAAAAGCGGGGAAGCAGATATGAATTTCTTCTCTCTTTCGTCTGTGTACCCCCACCCCAAATCCAACTGCATCTGGGCTGAGGCTGAGCTCAGGAGTTGGAACTGATTATACTGCCCCCTCCTGGCCACTGCACGATATTGCTGGGTGGCACTTGCTGTGTGTAACAAAATAGCTTATGAATGACTTTTGGGGTTATGAATTCAGCTAATTAACCAATCTAGCCAGCAGCCTGTTTACTCTGTTTTATTGCTGTCTCACCCTGGGCAAGCATTGAGCGCCAAGTCATCTGACACCCCTAGATCTCTTCCAGCTTCCCCCTCGGCAAGTTCTATGCCATCCATGGAGTTGCATGTTCTTACTCACTCTGAGCGTCAGTCTTGCTGAGTGGCCCTCTCGCCTCTGAATAAGAAGGTTGTGGGTTTTGTGCCCCGTGTCAGGACTTGATCTCACATAGTCCAAGCTGGCACTCCAGTGCAGTATGTTGCATTGACGGAGGTGACATCCTTCAGATGAGATGTTAAACAGTGCTCTTTGTTCAGGTGAATGTTAAAGATCCCATGGCACTATTTGAAAAGTTGAAGGTGTTTCTTGCAGTGTCCTGACCAACAATTCCCCAACTAAAATTGTTCATTCATTTCATGGTTGCTTGTGGGACATCGCTGTTGCGTAAATTGCCTGCCGTGTTTTCCCACAAAAACTCCACAGTCAAATCCTGTGAAATACTTTGAAACAATCTTCCAACATGAAAGGCGCTATACTAAATGCAAGGATTCTGTTATGTAGTACCTTCCCTGTATTAAAGTTAATTTGCAAGTTATCAGGACCTATTGTATGCAGGAATTATCAAGCTCTTTGTAAGATCGTTGCTGTTTCTTTAGATCTGCCCCAACTTGGTGTTATCTTCAGATGTTACACTGGATTTGCAAATCCAGGTCATTTAATATACATAAGGAACAGGAGGTACCGGGTACAGCCTCTCTAGTCCCCTGCTCCTCTTAACAGTGTTTGCCAAATAACATGTGGAACTCAGTCAGCCAAAACCATTCTGTCTGCCAATATGAAGTACTCGGTGTCCTGGCCAACATTCCTCCAGATAAATGAGTTCACCTCATGGTTATTTGTGCGACGTTGCCCTGGGTAAATTGGCTGTTTGGAGTCGTTACTCTTGACACTAATTATCCACGAAGGGCTTGAGGTGTTTCAGCGTTCTAGGTGTTGTATCAAATGTACAGATTATTATTGCTATGAAAATCGCAGCTGCGATGTGCAAAATGTTCGCACCAGTCTGGAGAGAAGGGTTGGGTGTAGTGTGAGAGAGCACATGCATCATAGTGCTTTACTGAAACCAGTGAAAGGTTGGAGAATGGTTTCTTCTGGCAAGTGGAACTCTGGTACCTCTAGCCTCACGTGGCAGCGTAGATTAGATGTCAGCCAACCACTGATGGCAGTTTGTTGGGCAAAGGGGAACACATCATAGATAGCCCAGTCCTGCCCTCAAACACCCTGATACACAAACGTGTACACACACACATTCATGCTAGCAAACCTTCCAGCAGGGAATTGCAACACTGCCTGAGCATACCTTTTTAATAATGTTTTCAGTCATCGAAGCCCTTTGAGACATCTAGAAGATGTGAAAAGCACTATATCAAATGCAACGATTATTATTATCTTTCCCCAACCACCCTCCTCGGTTCCCACCCCTCGCTTGTGTACACAGTCAGCATTGTCATGTGTTTTGAGACATCATTTTGATGTGAAAGGCTCTGTGTAAATTGAACTTTGGCTGTCTCTTTTCCCTCTCAACACCCCTCTCCTTCTGCACAGCCCAGACTAATTGTAACACCCCAACTGACATCAGCTTACAGTACAGAGAGGGAATCACACTGTGACCTTCTGGTCTGTCTGGCTGATGGCTGCACTGACAGTAACTTATTAGGTCATCGGAGAGCCAGAGGTCTATGAATCGTGAGTCTGTGACTGACGGGTTGACGTAGAGTGTCACCTGCTGGTAATAACATGACACTACACAAACCACTTCAATGCCACCAAATAAATAGGTGGACGGGCCATGGAGCAGAGGAGGGGTTGGCTGGGGTGTAAGACTAATGCCGTTGACTCTGTTCCCAGAAATAGAGGGAAATTAAATCTGGAACTGCCCTCTCTTCCCACCCCTAGGATCTGATTCTTTGAGCTTTTTGATCCATCTGTGCTTTTGATGCACAAAATGGGGTCTGACTTGTGATGATAGTGAATAAGCAATCAGTCAGAGCTCCTTCCGACCACTCTGGACATGGGGCACAGAGCTAGTTTTGGTTCCCTTGGGATCAGCATGAGTTGCTTCCTATTTTCCTGTTAAGGAATTGCTAGATGTTAGCCAGTGCTCCATTTAGAAATTCTGTAAAACGTTTTTAATGTTAAAGATTGTGTCGGTTTCCCCTGTGCCTGGTGGCTTCTTCGTCATTGATTTCTATTTTTGTGTCAGCAGCAGATCTACACGCCGAGGTCCACGGACAGGCTGACGGTGCCGTCGTTTCTGCAGCGGGATCGGTTCAGCCGTTTCCAGCCCACATATCCCTACATGCAGCACGAGATCGACCTCCCGCCCACCATCTCCCTGTCAGACGGTGAGGAGCCTCCACCTTACCAAGGCCCCTGCACCTTACAGCTCCGTGATCCTGAGCAGCAGATGGAACTGAATCGGGAGTCTGTCAGGGCACCACCCAACAGGACTATTTTTGACAGCGACTTAATAGACACTTCAATTTATAACGGAGGCCCCTGCCCTCCCAGCAGTAACTCTGGCATCAGTGCAACTAGTTACAGCAGCAATGGCCGTATGGAAGGACCGCCACCCACTTACAATGAGGTCATTGGTCACTACCCAGGCTCAACCTTTTTCCAGCACCAGCAAACGCAAGGGGTGGTCTCCATAATGGAGGGCAACAGATTGCACCATCCTCAGATCAACGGTCTCGAGAGCACAATTGCCCGAAGTAAAGACAAAAAGACGGGACATCCCTTCTGAGACCCAACTCTGTGCACTTCGACTAAGAGAAGGGGAGGGTTGAGAGTGGGGGGAGAGAGATCATGAACTGTGCTCGCTTCCCTACTTACCCCTCCCAAGTGTACAAAGTAAATATTTAATTCTGTCTGAATTGAATGCTAAGATAAACAGCTTTCCAAGGAGCTCTACAGCTGAGCTACAATATATAAGGAAGTTAAAATATTCTGTTACTTTTTTTAAAAAAAACTTAGTTTAAGCGTTGTGCAGAAGTGCTGTCTTTAACTATCTCATTTAACTTTAAAGAACATTTGCACAAAATTTTATGTTTAAAGACCTGCAATATGTCTGATGAGAAAACTCTGCATGTGGAAGCAGTATTTTTGTAATAGAAATGGCCTATAAGAAAATTAGGTTTTTTTGTTTTGTTCTCAGATCAGAGATGGCAATTTTTTGAGTGCCAACTCAGAGTGTGTGAAGCATTCTGTATATATAAAAAAAGGGGTTTAAAGTTATTTATGAAAAATTTTGAAACATTGCACTATTTTGTACGAGCAACAAGCAGATGCCTGCAATGGTGGAAGCCCGGAACTGTCCGCCACAAGCGGAAGGCGCCAATTGTTCGGGTGTAGAAAACGTTGAGGTGCGAATACTTTGGGGTATGAAAGGTCCTGCATTGTGTGCACTGGAAGAGAAGTTGCATTAATACTAGGACATAATGAAAGCAATGGCTAGATTGAGGGCATTGTCTCGTATCTGGTAACAAGTTGTGTTCCAAACCTTATGAGCTCACAGTGCTGTATCCTTTACAAGAACCATCTGCATCACCTTCAATCCTCTGTTCCCAACATGAGATGAATTTTGTTCTGGCTCCATTAGTATCTTCATTGGAAGCCTTCTTGTTCTTGATGCCTACAGTAAGGATATCCAATTAAGGGAATTAGGTCAAAAGGTAACTTCACGAAATGTCTCCCATCTTCAGGGAGCCTGAACTAGACGGAGGTGATTGTTCAATACGTGTGTACATTCACTCAGCTGGAGGAACCATGAGAAGGCGTGCAGTGTGGTTACTAGTGGTGCGAGTGATTTGGTTGGGGCAATGTAAAGAGCTCTGTACCCTGTGCAACACCCCACTGAGATGAAGAAAGTTCCACTCTCTATTGTTGCCATCTCTTAACCATGAGCACAAAAATTACCCAAAGGGAATTAGAGAAAGTGTTTATCTTGAGCAAAGTTGAGAGATGGCTCCCCTTCTCCTCGGTAGTGCATCATTGCAACTCTTGGACAATCAGACCTTTTACCTATAGGGGAGAGCAGTGTGGTCAGGTTCTGATTTTGTGTTCCATATCTCAGTCTTAAGTTGTGTGAGCTATGTAGGAAAAGGTTTAGAAGTTTCTTATTGAATAGAGGCATCAGCACATGATCAGTGGGATATCATTGATTGTGGTCCAGGGGCAGTGACTAGGTTTAGGGACAGAGCGACTGATCAGATTTAGGGATGAAGGAGTATGATCCAGGAGATGAAGAGAGTAATCACAGATCTCCCTATGTTTACCTTCTATTCAGTCATATCAGTGCCATAGGTGAACAGGAAAGATGTTTGAGGGATGTATAAGGGGCTTGAGAAGTATTGATGCATTTTGTGCATGCTTGACCCTAGGCTGGGCTTTCATATCTCCGCTGCATAGTTTGACAATGTCAAACAGAAAAAGAGGTGCCAAGGATAGTTCCAAATTTTATCAGTGGGATTAAACAGTGCTAATCCTTATGCTTAGTGGAGATGAGGTTTAGTCATTTATATATTGAGTTCATTAAAACAAGGCACTATTACCTTTCTTGAAAAGGATTGTGCAGCCCAGATTGTACATGTCATCACCTTTCTGAAAGAGGATTAAGTTTGTGGTTCTGTTGTATTGCTGTGTCCTAACCCCCATTTTCCGAATGTGGTGAGCTCAGTTTCCAGAATGAGATAGGACTGGTAGGAGGCCATAACAGACTAACTGAAAGTTGGCCATTCTTGGTTCGATGTGGACACGCTCTTCCATTCTTACATGTGGTGATTCCCTCAGATAGTCGAGTAGACACACATTACGATAGAGTCAGAAAGTTATCTGCAAAGTACTGCAAACCCTAATCTGCAGCAATACTGCACAAACCCATGCATGCTCCTTTGGGGTCTCAGTGTTTTACTGCTGTCAGATGTACCAAACCAATATCCCAGCTCTTTTCAGCAAAGACCCCCAAATTTTCCCTGGCTTCCGTTCAACCCAGAACGTTTAGCTTGCACCTACTGCTGCTTGTATCCTTTGCCAAATGTTGGGGGTCACCGTATCTCCATATCTGCATGTCCATCTCGTGCTGTGAAACCCTACACTAGTTTACGGCTCTTCACCATTAAGGCTTAGCATGTGCTATGCTGCTACCTAGCTTCCACATGGTGTAATGAAGGAAATGGCTGTTTGCTGGGATGAGATTGAAACCCCAACAATGTCTGTAATGAGCTCCCTGTTTGAGGTAGTCTGTTCTCACACAGGGAGAAAGTGTGGATCTGATATGCCCACATGCTTGCCTCTGACCTGATGTTGATTAGAACGTAAAGAGAGAGTTGTGTTTTGCTGTCTTAGCAAGTGTAACTGCACAAATAAAACTGGAGTACGAGAGAATTTGCATCGTCTTCTACCCAGCCTGTTCATTCCACAGTCAATAATCCAGCCTGTAATAACCCAGCCCAGCCAGAACCACTTTCCCCACTTCTCTGTAGTACGTCCTTATTCTTTTACACCTTTTAATTATACCCTTGCCAGGATTTTGCCGAGAGCTTGATTTGAAATCTAAGGGCTACCATTAACTTTCTAACCTGTTTATTGGGCTTTGTTCTTCCTCTGCCAAGCAAGCCATTGTGCTAATAAACTTTTCCAATGTTGCTTAGTGTTTATTTTCTCTTGTTTATTTTTTTTAGGCTCGAATTTTGCTTTAAATTAATGCGAGACACTTTTTGCATTGGTTTCTTGTGTTGGAATTATTGTGCAGGCTGGGGAGGGATTGTCCACGTGTGGTTCAGGAGGTCTGAATGTGTGAGACCAAATGTGGCAGCAACTCAAGAGTTCAACTTTGTGTTAATACTCAGACTCTGCCCCTCACCGTGCCTCGTCAGATATGGTGCTGCTTCGTTCAATTGTGCTCAATCTCGTTTGTTTCTTTCCTCCCCCCACTTTTCTCTTGCATTTTTTTCCTCTCTCTCTCTCTGGTGCTGTGTATAACTTGAATGTATTATGCACATATCCTACCCAATGGGTAGAAAAGAATTTATATTATGGATATTGTATAATAGCATGTAGATTAAACAAAAGTATTAACCAAATAATGTAATCTGTGGAACTGTAACATCACAACACCCCATTTCATGTTGCAGTTCTGATTTATGGTAGAACCTCCGTTGATGATTAGCGTGCAGGTGACGGACACAGGGTCCAGCTTTGTCTGCAGGTCTAAACACATCTGTTTAATGAGAGGGCACACGAGTAGTTGTGGTTGGGGTCCTGGCAGAAGGGGCAGTGGGATGTGTGTTGTGGGGTTGGAGGAATTATTGGGCAAATGGGATCTCTGTATTCACTGGAAGTAAAATCCTCAACTCTGGGCAAAGTGTCAGTGAGCAGTGCAACATCCCCTCCCACCCCATGAGTGAAGCAAGCAGTGTCTTCCCCGCCGACACACACACCCTCCTGCTGCAGGACACCACATGCTGAGCAGCAGCAGGGGCCAGCACACGGCAGAGGGGATGAGCAGCCGGACACTGACTTCTGCTTTGATATCTATCCCCTATTGATTGGGATGATATTTTTATAATTAATATTCCAGTTTTTTTATAGGGAATTAATTACTTAGCCAGCGTTAGCTGGTGATGTAAGGGTGTGGGTTTGCATGTTGGAACCAGATGCAATTTCTCTGGGATCAGGCTCTTTCTGAGCAACCGGAGCACTGACCTTTGTTTAGCACATCTGCCTATGGTCTTATATTTTAAACGTATAATTTGGGTTGGAAATGTTTTAGGGAAAAAAATGAGTTTACTCCCAACTCATCTGATGCTCTGATTATCAAGGTGTATATGATATACAGCACTTTCAATGCAGTAAAGTACAAGTCTTTTTGCATTGCAGTAAATTGTGGATTCTCATGCTGAATTTTACAACACGCTTTGTTCCTCTGTATTAACTAAAGAGAAAAAAAAAAAGCATTCCTGTCACCTGCATTATTGCATCCGTGTACCAAGCGCCTGTGTACCAGCCTCTTGCTGTGAACTGTTGTATACACTAGCTATTAGAATTCCTCCCTCTCTCGGCTGTTTATGCTTTCGCAAACTGTTCTAAGTGATCACATTAGTCACACATGTTTTTTTTTTACAAAGACTTTTTTGGGGTTTTGTTTTCCGAGGCTGTGGTCCGCTCAGCGATCATATTCAAAACAAATGAATTTTAAAACAAATAATAAAAAGTGAAAGATAAACTGACATTCTCTTCTGGCTTTGGTGTCTGTTGAGCTTTGTGGTGGATGCAAAATGTTGCTGATCTAGTGAGAAAAAACAATCTGGTTCAACTCCTCCTTTCAACACATTCCACAAAGTACAATATTCTTTAATTTGATGGTGAGTAGGACATCTCAAAGAACCTCATGGTTTTCTGTGAAGTGTCGTGACTATTTTTACGCAAACTTAGCAGATGATCTGTCCCACAATTAGGAAGTTGCTGTCCAATTTTACCTGAGGGTTGTTGGCCACTCTGTAAAACTTCATTCATTATTTATTCTCACGAGGAAAGTTTAAACAGAGTGGCTCCACTTAAGTAAATTGAATAAACTGCCTGAACATTGTGTGTTTACAGTCTCTACGTTGCTCTGTCATGTGCTTTCCATGTTCCCAACACCTCTGGAGCAGAATTAAGGACCTAAAATTTGGAGCCCTAAATTATGATACTACAACAACTTGCATTTATATAGCGCCCTTTACATGGGGTAGCATCCCAGAGAGCTTGAGAGTGGCAGAGTCTGAGCCAGGGGGAAAGGGAGGTCTTTTGGCGGGATTTCCAAACTAGAAACCTTGGATATGTCCCATGGCTTGGGAAGCAGCCCATAGCTCTCTTCCTATTACTCCATCTCAGAAGTACCATCTATCCCTTACTAGGTTCACTCAGCTCTTACCAACACATTAACATTCCTAAAGCGCTCCTGGTAACTAACCTTAATTCTGCTCCACCCATCTAGTGACGGCTCAAACTTGTGCTCGTCACCTTTGTGGCTATTCTCCTGGTCAATCTCCAAATCGACCCACCTGTCACTGGAATATCAGAATCAAGCCCATCTAGCAATCTGAGTAGATCGTTCCTGAGCATGATATCACTGTTTGTGTACACCGTCCTCTCCTGTAGGTGCTGACTCAGGCAGTTGCCCTCAAGCACTGGGCTAAATTCACGAATCCCATGTGCCTCTGGAGTGTTAAAAACACGGAGAGCATCATCAGGGCCTTATTAAGCTTGATAGTTTTTTGGGGGGACCTTCTTTGCATGTTCAAATCCTTCCCTTTACTATGTTAACAATAGTGTTAACATAGTAACGGGGAGGATGCTGCAGGCATCACACACACACATACAGAGAGACACACAAATACAGAGACTCACAGATACAGAGAGAGATACGCACTCTCAAAAAGATAATCTCACTGGTCTTCGTGGCTTGGTTTTAACAGAGCAGTAACTTTATCACCAGAGAAACACTTAAGTGGGAAAGTTAAATAAATAATCTTAATCCTTGCATTTGATACAATACCTTTCATGTCAGGAGTCAGGAGGATGTCTCCAAAGTTCTTTGCGGGGATTTACTATAAACAACAAAATTACATTTGTATAGCGCCTTTCACGTCAGGAGGACGTCCCAAGGTGCTGGACAATCAGTGTTTCGGATCCAAGCTGGGAGTTGGGATCAGGGAGGGTGGAGAGCAGGGGGGGAAGGAGGGTGATTGAAGGCACGGTTGAAGAGGAGGGTCTTGAGATGGGTCGAGGGAGACGAGGGAGGGGGCGAGGCGGAGGGACTGCGGGATGGAATTCCAGAGGGTGGGGCAGAGTTGCTTAAGGCCCGCCCGTCAATGATGGGGTGGGTATGGCAGGGACATGAAATAGTCCGGAGCCTACTGTGCAGAGGGTGTGGACAGGTTGATAGGGTTAGGAGATTTCAGAGTTAGATGGGAGCAAGACCATGGGGGCCTTTGAAGGTAAGGACCAGGATCTTGAACTGTATCGTCTGTGTGATGGGAAGCCAGTGGAGTAGGGCGAGGGTGATAAGGTCAAGGAGCCTGGTAGGGAGAGGTCACAGGCTGCAGAGTTCTGGATGATCTGTAGCCTATGGAGGGAGGAGTTGGGGAGGCTGACAAGCAGAGAGTTTGCATCGTCAAGCCTGGATGTTATGGATGTGTGTATAAAGTGTAATTTATAGGTAAACACGACAGCTAATTTTCACACACCACAGCGATGTCCCATAAATTGGTTGGGTTGATTGGTTAGTAGGCGAGTGGCACTTCCTTAGATAAAACTCTTAATATTTGACAAAGAAAGAATTTGCATTTTCAATAATGCTCAGCACATTATTTGTGGAGGCAAACATCTCAAAGTGGGGCTTGAACCCACGAACTTCGACTCCAAGGCAAGAGTGCGTCCAACGGAGCTAGGCTGACATCTAGTAAGTGTTAACAGCTCAGTGAAAATAACAGCTGGTATTTGGAAGGACTAACAAGAAGAGGTTGTGCTTATAAAAGGTTAGATTTAATACCGCTCACACTACTGGAGGCAAGGAATGAGAAATGTGACAACAGGGTTTCCATTCTATTATTTTTGTCTTGCAATTGCAGAAGTGGTGAACTGATTCTGGTTACTAAATGCTAAATCCAGTACAGGCACAGCTCGTAAATCTCTTCACCTGCTGGTAGAAGAAGCAAAGGATAATTACCTCTACAAAATTGCTTGTGCCTTCAGCCCTGCCTCCCGGGTGTTCCTGGTCTGTCCACTGCATGTCTGGGATATTGAAATTACCACATTAAAATTCCCTGCAGCCTCTCTACTTGGATAAGCAGCTTGCTGTCTGGTTGTTCACCTTGAGCTGGCAGTCAAGGTGACAAGCCAGACAACCACTCAGTCGCCTTTATCATTACAAATTTCTACCCCTATTGCTTCAGCCATGAAATCCCTTCAGCTGTTAGATTCACTCCTTTATAACTGTGGTACCATCTCCTATCAATATCTCAACTCCTCCGCTTACTTAATAGCTTTGTGATACACTCTGCACACTCCCAGCTCCATCATCAGGTTGCAATGTGTCACTATTGTAAACTTATTATATAGCAACTTCAAGTTAAAAAAAATCTCGAGAAGCTAAATATTCACAACATTGACGACTGTCATAACAGAATCATCTAATCTGTAGCAGCAAATTCACCATTTTTACCAGTCGTGTTCGTAATTCCAATATTCTTTATTTGTGCTACATCTGCATGAATGCATTAAAACGGATCTTAAAATACCTTCTTTATCCTTGTCTGATCATTTTGTTATATTTGTGTTTCTCTTTACAGTAACAGTTAATCCTCCCATTTGAATTTACACAAAAGGAGGAATTGAAGTGTGATTGTGAATTAAGAAAAAGGGGTTGAAATTTGTATTGAGGAAAGGGGATTCAAATTGAATATAGCAAATGATTGAAATGTCTTCAGATAAATTTGAATTTAAATGCAAATTAATAAAATACATAAAATTTACAACACAAGAAATAAACGTTACTCACTCTCGTACTCTCAGGAATTGAATGCCCACCTCCCCCAACAGATTAATTGGCTATCCATCTGCACGTTTTTAAGACATCACTGGTGAAAATTGGCTGCCGCCTTTGCCTCCATAATTACAACAATTTGTGTTTATATAGCCCCCTTCACACCGGGTAGCGTCCCGGAGCGCTTGTGAATATAACAATATTCACTTCATTTTTAATTAATTTTATTTTGTGAAGTGTTTAAGATGTTATGTGAAAGATGCAACATAAATGCGGACGCATCTATCTCTTTCCCATATCTTTTCCTTCCGTGTACATTTCCTGTAATTCTATGTAAACCATTGACTCACATTTCAGCTGAGACCATGTCAGATATCATAGAATCATACAGCACAGAAAGAGGCCACATGTCTGCACCGACTCCGAAAAGAGCAATCCAACTCAATCTCAGGCACTTCATCAAAAAATTCTATTAGGTTTGTCAGACGCAATCTGCCTTTAACAAATCCGTGTTGACTTCTTTATTAAACCATATTTTTGTAAGTGAGAATTTATATTGTCCCGGATTGTAATCTCCAGAAATTTTCCTACTACTGATGTTCGGCTGATTAGCTGTAGCTCTCAGGTTTATCCTTCTGCCCCTTTTTGTACAGGGGAGTAACATTTGCAACCTTCCAGTCCTCTGGCACGACTCCAGTGTCTAAAGAGGATTGGAAGATTGTGGCCAGAGCCTCCACTATTTCCACCCTTGCTTCCCTCAGTAACCTCGGATGCATCCCTTCCGGACCGGGTGACTTATCTATGTTGAGCACTGACAGCCTTTTGAGTACCTCCTCTCTGTTGATTTTTATCGTATCCAATTTCTGTTCAAACTGTTGCCTGCGATATTGTGGCATTGGTTGCATCGTCTTCTTTTGTGAAGACAGTTGCAAAGTACTTATTTAGTAGTAATCCAGGACAATATAAATTCCCACTCTCACCTAATTCCCGAACAGAGTTCTCACTCCGTTCCTCCTCAGGCTCCTGGGCTCTTTGCTCTCTCTGCTGGAATGTATAAAGAGGTATAAAGTGCAATCCTGCCCTCTGGTGGCGGCAATCACCAATTACAACACATTACTGTTTCTTTGACACAATTTGAGGAATGGTACACTGTAAAATACAAGATACGATATAGGACATAAAGTACCGTAAAGGTGTGCTTTAACTAAGTTTGTATTGTTGTACCAAAAAAATGTACATTATGATTGGTCTAATTGTCAAATTGGCTCCTTTCCTGTGGCCAAATCCTCCCTTTTACTCAATGATCATCCCAAAGAGTAAGGACAGACTGCAGTCTCCTCTTCTCCACCACAAACCCCCTGATCCACCCCTCAGCCCACATACCTTCCAGCTTCCCCTCTAAAGGGACATACAACGATGTTATGGATTTCCTGGTATCCAAAATTTAAATGATCTGCTCACTCGCCTCTGCCTCCTCCTCCTCCTCCACCTCACCCCTTCTCTCCCCCAATCATCTTCACTCAATCCTTACCCTCTACCTCACACATCTTTTACTTAGCTCTTCCTCATCTCTTACAGAAAAACCTTCACCATCCTGATGACCCAATCCTGGCCCTTTGTTCTGTGAATTCAAAACCCTTATTCCTATTAGAATTATTATTATGAATCTAAAATCTTTGACTGCAGTTATATCGGTTAATACAATAATATGATAATACTTGCTTTTGATATAGCGCCTTATCACATCTTCGAGACGTCTCAAAGAGTTTCACAGAATATACTGGAGAGTGAATTGACTATATTTTGTGGGTGAAACTGGGCAGCCAGTTGTGCACAGCAGTGTCACACAAACAGTTGTAAATTGTGGGACCAATTTATTTTTAATTGCTTCCTACTATTTTCCATTTCAACTCTGTGAAGTGCTTCGAAAAGTGTGAGTTATTATGATCAGGTGTTTATCAGAGCCTCGAAAGGAGGGTTTAACCTTCACAAAGTGAGATCCCGATATCAAGTGTCAACATCAAGTACTGCAAAATAGGCGGTGAATTTCTGGACCTTCAGAAACATGATTTTGAACCTATTTTAATTAAATGAAATTTGAATCAAGACAAGATTTGAGAAGATGGACAAACTCTCTCTTTTATGCAGTGATTTTTTTAATATATTATTTAATATATTTGATACAGATTAGCTGATCTCAGCGGTTACAAGTAGACCGACACGTGGTTATAGGGAGGGAAAATTCACCCAGTGGTCCCGCACCACACCAAAGATCTCTGTTGAAAAACGTGCACATCAACATCGGATCCGTACTGGACCACGTTTGCTTATGAGCGGAAAGTGTGGCTGACGGGGTGAGTGGGGGAGTAGATTTGATGAAATGAGTAAATGAGTTTGATGAGTAAATGTGACTTCGATGATCTCTTCACCAAGTTTTCCAAAGTTCCCCAACGACGAAACGACAGCTCAGTTCTACTGCCACCGGCCCGGCCTTCGCCCGCGCACGTCCCGAACTCCCGATGTACAATATCCCGTCGTGTTATTTCCTAAACGAAAACTATCCGATCGGTGTTTCGGACCGGAGTCGCCGGGCGGCGGCCGTTATAATAATAATAATAAGCCTTGCATTTGATATAGCGTTTTTCACGTCGGGAGGACGTCCGGGACGGAGAGGGGGAGAGGAGGGGAGGGGGGGAGAGGGACGGGGGGAGAGGGGGGGACGGGGAGTGGGGGAGGTTAGGGGGAGAGGGACGGGGGGAGAGGGGGGGACGGGGAGAGGGGGGACGGGGAGTGGGGAGGTTAGGGGGAGAGGGGGAGGGGAGAGGGGGGGACAGGGGGAGAGGGGGGGACGGGGGGAGAGAGAGGGGGGGACGGGGAGAGGGGGGGACGGGGGGAGAGGGGGGGAGAGGGGGAGGGAGAGAGGGGGGGACGGGGAGAGGGGGAGGGAGGGGGAGAGGGGGGGACGGGGAGAGGGGGAGAGGGGAAAAGGAGAAAAAAAATGGCGCCGCCCACAACGCGCCGACCTCACGGCGCGTGACGTCAACGGAAGTGTCCTAGGGGAAGGGGGGGATTGACATCCGGTTCCGGTTCGCGTTGCCGTGGCGCCGGCTGTGGGGGTTCGGGGCCGTCTCTCTCTCTGTGTCTCTGTGAAGCGCTGTCGAGGGCCGCCCCCCGGCCGCCGCCATCTCCCGGCCGCCGCCCCTGTGTGTGTGAGGCGGGGACAGCGCCTGACAGGTGGCCCCGGGCCCGGGAGGCCTCCGCGCGGCTGGTGCTGTCGGGGACCCGAGGCTCCCCCGCCGGTAAGACACAGAGACCTGGGGGGGTGGGGGGAGGGGAGGGGGGTGGGGGCAGGGGGGGTGGGGGGAGGGGTGGGGGCAGGGGGAGGGGGGGCAGGGGGGGGAGGGGGGGCAGGGGAGGGGAGGGGGCAGGGGGAGGGGAGGGGGGTGGGGGAGCTCTGTACCGTCTCTACTTTATTATAATCGTCATCTTTATACTTAATGTCGCTCCTCTTTCAACTCGGAAAGGCTTCGCGAACCGCCTCTCAGTGTAGTGTGTGACACAGTGTAGTGTGTGTGTGTGACAGTGTAGTGTTGTGTATATGACACAGTGTAGGGTATGTGTGTGTGACACAGTGTTGTGTGTGTGTGTGTGACAGTGTACTGTGTGTGTGACACAGTGTAGTGTGTGTGTGTATGACACAATGTACCTGGTGTGTGTGTGACTATGTACCTGGTGTGTGTGTGACTATGTACCTGGTGTGTGTATGACTATGTACCTGGTGTGTGTGTGACTATGTACCTGGTGTGTGTGTGACTATGTACCTGGTGTGTGTGCGACTATGTAGCTGGTGTGTGTGTGACACTGTGACACTGTAGCTAATGCGCGCGTGTGACACTGTAGCTAGTTGACACGTGTGACACTGTAGCTAGTTGACACGTGTGACACTGTAGCTAGTTGACATGTGTGACACTGTAGCTAGTTGACGCATGTGACACTGTGTAGCTAGTGTGCGTGTGAGACACTGTAGTGTGTGTGTGATACAGTGCAGTGTGTGATACAGTGTAGCTGGTGTGTGTGACAGTGTAGAGTATGTATGTGTGTGTGACACAATGTAGTGTGTGTGACACATAAGAAATGCTAGACTATAAAAGTCCACAGTTCGTTTAGTTCACCTTCCTGGTGGTCACATGCACATATGTCCCAAACTACCTATGTACTATATCCCATAATGTTATTTCGGAAAAGAAAAATAGCGGATCTTTGTTTGAAAGAATCAACACTTCCTGCTTCAACCGTCTCCCCAGGGAGCCTGTTCCACAGGTTCACTATTCGCTCATTGAAATAGTGTTTGAGTAGATTCGTTCTGAATTTACCCCCATTCACTCGCAGGCCGTGTGCTCTGATTTTACTATTTTGGACAGTTGAAACAGGATCTATATTGGTCTATATTGTCTTGCCTCTTTAGAATCTTAAAGGATCCTGCCGCCTCTCAATCTTGTCTTTTCCAATGCGAATATGTCCAATTTACTTAGTCGCCCCTCATAGTCCAGTCTCTCCATTCCCTCAATCATTTATTTTGGTTGCCCTCCTCTGTACCTTCTTGATTTCGTCAATATCTTTTTTGTACTGCGGCGACCAGAACTGTACAGAGTATCTAAGTATAGTTTTATCAATGATTTATACAGTGGCAGGATTACCCCACTATTTTGGTTTGCTATTAATCTTTTGATACATTGCAACATATGGTTTGCTTTACTCACTGCCACAGAGCATTGTTGGGAGAGCTTCAATTATTGTCAATCAGGACTCCCAGGTCCTTTAAATTTTCCATACATATTATTTTCCTTCCGTTCAAATAACAGTCCCTTCCAGGACTTTTTTGTTTCCATGTGAAGTATTTTCCTTTCTCCATATTGAGTTTCATCTGCCACCAATCTGCCCAATTCCCAAGTATGTTCAAATCCTCCTATCTTAACCTATCATGTTCAGCTTCGCAATCTACCACCTTCATTAGCTTGGTGTCATCTGCAAACTTAGCCACTGTGCTTGCAACTCCTAGTTCCAGATCATTTGTAAAAGTTCAACGTAAGAGGTCCCAAAACAGACCCTTGTGGAATTCCACTGGTAATATTTTCCCAGACTGATGATATTCCCTCTACCACCAGCCTTTGGGTTCTTCCGGTCAACCAGTTGCATATCCATTGCAATATACCTCCACTGATTCCCACTTTCTTTACTTTCAGTACTAGCCTCTCAAGAGGAAGTGTATCAAAGGTGTTATTGAAATCCAGATACACAACATCCACAGCCTTATTTCTTATCAAGTTGCCTTGTCACACTGTCAAAGAAACCAGTAAATTAGATTGGCAAGACCTTCCCTTCAAGAACCGATATTGGTTGGTTATCACTTATGATTTTATTTCTGTCCAGATGCTTCATGATTTTAACCTTAATAAGAGTCTCCATAATTTTACCAACAATGGATGTCAAACTTACTGGTCTGTAGTTTCCTGGGTCACTTTTGTTAACGTTCTTAAAAATAACACCTGCCTTTCTTCAGTTCCCCAGCACCTCTCCAGTATTCAGTGATTTTGGAAAGATTTGTGCCAGTATCTCTGCAGCTTCCTCCCTTAGTTCCTTAAGGATCCTCGGATGCAATTTAATCGACCCTGAGACTTGTTTACCTTAAGTTTGCACAGCTGCTCAGCAACCGTGCTGGTAGTGGTATGAATCGGGTCACAACTTTTCTCTGCAACATCCTTGAGTTCTCTTTCCAGATCAGATAGGTTACCCATCTCCTCTGGTGCAAAAAAATTCTTTAGCACTATTGCAGTCTGTGCAGCCTTATTTGTCATGTTCCCTCTCAAATCCACCTTCGTGGCCCAATTCCATTGCTTGTTTTTCTTTTATTCTTAATCTAACTAAAAAATGTTATGTTATTATTCTTCACATTGCTTGCCATGTTCAATTCAATGCTTTTCTTACCTTTTTTGTAGTCCTGGCATGCCTTCTGGTATTGAATCCAACTTAATTCTGTGTCATTTTACTTCATTGCCTTAAATGCCTTTTTTCTTCTTTATGATTTGCTTTGTAGCCCCATCCACAGCAAATCATGAACAGTGCCTTTAAGCTTGGTACCTTTGCTTCACATGGGTATACATTGTTCCATTGCCTTCATAATCACCTCCTTGAAGGAACTCCATAGGTCCTCCACTCCCATTGCCATATTTAAGCGTCCCTGGCCCACTCCGACTAGACTTCTCAGGTGCACAAAGTCAGTCCTCTTGAAATTTGGCAGTTTTGTTTGAGTTTTTATAACCTCACCAATTCTTCTGATGTCAAATGTGACTGTATTGTGATCGCTGTTGCGTAATGTTTCTCACGCTTTATGTTGGAGGTTTGGTCCTCCCTGTTGTTCATTATCAAATCCAAGATGTTATCTCCCCTTGTTGGCTTTTTTACAAGCTGAGTCATAAAACAGTCTTCCTTTAACTCTAGAAACCCCTTCCCTATCTTACCAGTAGACACAGTATGATCCCAGTCAATTTCGGGTAAATTTAAAATCTCCAACTACTATGATTATTTCCACCCTTCCCTCAGTAACCCAGGATGCATCCCATCCGGACCAGGTGTCTTATCTACCTTGAGCACTGACAAGCTTTTTAGTACCTCCTCTGGGTTTATTCTTATCTTATCCAATTTCTCTACCCTCGCTGTTTGAGGAAACAAAAGCCTGACTCCCTACACTACACAAGCACCAAGCACCTCAGACCAATGTCTGCCTAGCTATCCTTAGACGCACTGTAGTGTGTGTGCGATACAGTGTGGCATGTGCGCAACACAGTGCGTGTGCGACACCGTGTAGTGTGCGACACCGTGTAGTGTGCAACACTAGTGTGCATGTGCAACACAGTGTAGTGTGCATGTGCGACACAGTGTAGTGTGCGTGTGCAACACTGTAGTATGCGTGTGCAACACCTATAGTGTGCGCGAGTGACACACTGCGTGTGATACACTGCTTGTGACAGACTGTGTGTGTGACAGACTGTGTGCGCATGTGACACTGTGTGTGGATGCGTGTGACACTGTACCATGTGTGCGATCTTCAGTTTTCATGGCTTCTGGCCTCCTGTTCTGTCAACGCCTCCACTTCCCAGCTATTTTTGTTCAGTTTGTACAGAGCTCTGAATGACAGTTTTAACTTGGCTGGTTCTGCCTTTGAAGGATCCATTATCTCCAGAGCTCTATAGCTGTTGTTTGGGTTTCATTTTGCTTTCCCAGTCAAGGGGCTGTTGTAAAAGCTGCTGTTGGTGTGTTTTAAGGATAGCTTGGATTTGTTGGGGCTTTCTGCTTGACTTGTGCTTTTCCTGTATGTGTTTCTGCCATTCACTTGTCTGTACTTTCGAAGATCTATTTCAGAGATTTTTATTCCCTCGGGAATCTTGGCTTTCGTGCTGGTGCTCTGTCTGGAGGAGCTTTGGTGTTGGTATTTGTTTCCATCGACTTTTGTTTTTTACGGCTTCCTGCGGAGCATAGTCTTGACAGCTCTGTCACAACACTCCACATCCTCAGTTTGGAATCTGAGTCGTGTGATGAAAATGATCATGAAAGTATTGGGAGTTTCCGTTTAATGTTTCGGAAGAAGTTGCAATAGTAAAGAGATATCATTTCAAACAACTGATCGCATTTCTAGGTCAGTATCTTTCAACAATCATACAACCTTTTCAAAGAAACACAGATATGGAAAAGCTCAGAGGAAAGTGCAGAGTTAGTGCAGTGATGTGTGTTCAGTGAGTAGATCTGGTGGTCACCTACAAAATACAGTCACGCCACTTTACAGCATATCCTATGAAGCACTTTGAGACAATTTGACCTGCTAATGCGCTAAATCAAATGTGAGTATCATTATGTTCAATAACCTGGATTATGCTGAGGTTGCTGAACAGGGCAGATAGGCAAGCATTCCTGCAGTTGGCCTCAAGAGTCCCAGGTTAGGGCAGCCACTGTTATTACTGTCAGCAACCCTGCGGGAGCTGAATGGATGGGGACTGAGTTGTTCTCAGCTCTTTTGTAATTTTGTTTCTCTCCTTTTCTTAGGTACCTTAACCGCATTCTCTGTTCTGAATTGTGGAGCTTCGGTGCTGCAGACCTTCTGTTACAGCAACTTTACTCGGATGAACATCATGCTCCTTTCCTACACGCTGAGGACTGAGTAGCTGTTCTACACGACCGAAGCTGTGCTGGCTGGGTAATTGTGATCGAGCTGCAGGAATGGCTGGCCACTTCCGAAGCTACGTGTGGGATCCAGTTCTCATCATATCTCAGATTGTCCTTATGCAATGCATCTACTACAGCTTCCTGGGCATTTGGCTGGCTCTGGTGGACAGTCTTGTGCACAATAATCGCTCACTTGATCAAGTGTTTAGTTATGAGGTAAACCACCTGTTGAAAACTTAACTTATTACAGTAAGGATGGCCAATTCAGTGTCCTGTGTTATAGGTACCTGATTGTGCATCATCTGTGTGGGGAGTAGGGGGGGAGACAGTCGAGTTTCCCCTATATGGAACTCCTCCATCAGGTGGTAGGTGATTTGTGGAACACTCACCTCACAATCGAGAGACCTGGGTTCGATTCCCCGCAGGACGAAAGCTTGGGCAAGTTACCTTACTCCACACGACTGATAATAAACTCTCAAGAAAAAAAAACAATAATAAATTGGTCACTTCAATCCACGACTGTTTGTGGGACACTGCTGTGTGCAATTGGCTGCCACATTTCGCCCACAAATATACAGTCAATTCACTTTACAGTATACTCTGTGAAGCACTTTGAGATGTCTAGAAGATGTGAAAAGCACTGTAACAAATGCAAGGATTATTATTATTCCTTCTATATTGAATCATTCCTGCCATTGGTCAGAATGCCATATGTATTGGCTTGCTTTCAAAATCTCTACCATTTTTGAGGATCCAGTATAATTACCAACTCCAAACATGTTAAAGTACAACCTCTGACCTCTTACTTCGAGTTCATCTCTAGGTATAGGCTCCAGGGTATAGAGGGGCACGTTGAAATTTAATGGGAAAACTAGAGGATTAATGGTCAACGGCAATTGGCTAAATTGAAGTACACGTTGGCTTTGTACTGCCAATCTGATTAGACACTGATCCATTGCCAGGCAGTTTCTCTTAGGTTGAGATTAACGGTCTGTCTTCCTTGTTATAATGCTGATCCTTTTGTTGTGTTCAGGTTCTGGGATTTTCCACAGCTCAGGGGAGGCTCTCAATGATGGCGTTTGTTCTCAATTCGCTCACATGGTAAGTATCTCCAGCGCTGGCGTGACTGTGTGTGTGGGGATCAGTGTGTGTGCGTGTGTGTATACCAGTTGCTGGCATGACTGTGTTTATGTGTGTACTGTGCTGTTTGTGTGTGTATCAGTAACTGTAACATTACAGTATGTGGTGTGTTTACATTGTGCTGGTTCTTTTAGTAATCATGTTAAACACTATATTAAAATAATAAAGTTAATTAACCTCAATATATGTATTGTAGATTGTGAATATTGTTTTGTAGTTTCTTAACCCACTGAGGGCTTAGAGAGCACGGCCACATGCAATGCTTTATTCTGTTGCTAACACTGTAATTGTTCAGGGCACAGTTTAATAGCAAAGCATAAGAATCGACTGGTAATGGACTCAGTGTTAAAGGGCACGGATGACCTCTAGTGGGGGTATAGTAGATTATTATAACTGAACTGACTTGATTTCCTCCAATTGCTGGATGGGACAGTGTGCAGGGAGCATTAGTATAGGCTGTGCTGTGTGTGAATATAATAATAATAATAATAATCCTTGCATTTGATATAGTGCCTTATCGTGCCTTCGAGGCGTCTCAAAGAGCTTCACAGAATATATTGTAAAGTGAGTTGAATGTATATTTTGTGGGCGAAACACGGCAGCCAATTGCATACAGCAGTTTCCCACAAACTGTGTTTTATTTGCAACAAAGTACTATATAATTATAAAAACATCATAGAAGTAACACTGTTGTTTCCTTCACCAGTGCACTGGGGCTCTGGTATTTCATCCGAAGAGGAAAGCAATGCTTGGATTTCACTGTGACGGTTCATATCTTCCACCTGGTGGCTTGCTGCTTCTACAATTGGCACTTTCCCACAGTGCTGAGCTGGTGGCTAGTGAACATTGTGTGCATTGCACTGATGGCTGTAATAGGGGAATATCTGTGTATGCGGACAGAGCTCCGAGCCATCCCCGTGAACACTGGACCCAAATCCAACCTCTGAACTCCTGACAGATGTGTGTGTTTCCCCGAGTGCTCGCTCGCTCGTTCACACTCACCACTTCCACTGATTCTCCAGAAACTGTCCTAACAACCAGTGTTAAAAAAAAGAACATTTTTAATCCTCACATTCATTTTAATGTTGGCAAAGAAGAATTTTACAAAACGGTATACTTTTGTGCACAGAATACAGAGCGTTCCATTTTTATTTTGATTACCATATAATCTGTTGAGTGGCAAATGTCTTGTGTAAAATAAGCTTTATGAGTTTCTAAGCATGTATCTGTGATTCGCAGTGTTGGTGAGAGGAGTTCAAATTTGTTCCTATTAAGATTGGATCCTATGGGATTCTTAGTTCTCTGATCTCTTGTGCAGGAGACGTGCTGAATACACTGAACGTGTGGGGACGTACTTTGGATGTGTAGCCGTACAGCACACACTGGCCACTTTAGCTCAACTTGCGGTTGTATGTTAAGAACCCACCAGCCTTATGCCTAAAGCTTTCTACGTTCCACTGATCACTCCCTACATTTTCTATCTAAATGGTCTCTGAATGCAGCATCGCGACCCATGAACATTGACAGTCCGTACAGTGGAATGTGCAGTTCTAATCATTCGCACAGCAATTGGAAAGACCAGGAATCCTGGACAACAAATCCAAGCCTGAAATGGACACAGTCCTTGGGCAGAGAGAACGTTGGGTCAATCTGAGGCATTGCACAATTTCATCCAATTAAGCAAAAAAAAAAGGAACCCTCTTATTTTGATTATAGCACTACTTCTTGATTGATGTAAAATAGTTAAGAAATGAAGTGGTAAAAGTACTTTGAAATTAGGACTGCTCCTAACCTCAGGACTGTCTGTGGAAATGTTCCATGCAGCTCATTGTGATGATTTCTGTACCACAGTTGATCGGCATGACGTGCCCTTTACTTCTACAGTATTTTGTTTAAAAGTCATTGAGGAATAAATCTCTTGGCTGGCTTTAGCACCAGTTTTCTCCAATGTTCGACTTTCCTGTGTCATGAATGCTGCAATGAGCTGATGCCCTTGTTTTATGGGAACCGGCTATTTTAGACAAGGATGTGGGGAAAGGACAGACCGAAATGGTCTTCTGTACTGTAAGATTTCAAGATCTGTATTCGAAATGGAAGATCTGAATTGTGACCAGCTGTGTGAATTGTTCTGATGGAAGAGTTTAATTCCATCCTCTGTATTTGTAATGCTTAGTTTCTCTGGTCTTTTATGCCACATTTTATGAACACAAACAATTGAATGTAGACATTAATGTACTTAAGCTGAAGCTCAGGTTTATTCGGTTGCTAATATTTTGCATTTTGTGTCTTGCTTCAACTTGTCAAATGCCTTGTCCTCACTTCTCTTCTAAGCCTGAAAGATACAGTCACTACACTTTAAATCCTCTGAAGCGCTGTGAAACAACAACCTGGCGTGAAAGACACTGTATCGGAATATGAATTGGCCACCTTTTCTCAGACCCATACAAAGCCAGAATGTGGAGGGTACTGATTCATACAAGCACAAACAACTGGCACAACAGTAACGACGGGAGGTTTCATGCTCTCAGGTTCTTCATTTACAAGTCAAAATACCACCGATCTCTATGTGTGTCCAGATTGCTTTAATTTTTCAGATAAATTTGGAATTCCAGAGCAAATAGAAAGAAGTAAAAGAAATATGTTTTAATCCAAATCCTTTGCAGAGGTGTATTTCAGAATGTGGGACGGAGTCTGCTGAGGAGAGAGAGCAGACAGGTTGATATGGGGTTAGCAGGTCACAGAGGTAGGAAGGAGCAATGCCATGGAGGGTCTTAAAGGCGAGGACAAGGATTTTGAACTCGATGCTCTGGGGATGGGTGATGGTGAGGGTGGGGCTGATAGAGGTTCAGAAGAGGACACGAGCTGCAAAGTACTAGATGATCTGCAGCTGGTGGAGAAGAGTTGGGAAGGCCGACAAACGGAGTGAAATTTGAGATCTGGTGTGGTGGGAGTCCTTGGGATTTCCAGCTTACCTTAGACTTTAAGGCAAGGCGTGCCTTGTGGGGAGTCCATGCATGTAGTCGAGCCTAGATGTGATAAATGCAGTAGCCGGGCAATGTGGGTCATGTGGAAGGCAGAGTGGGTCATGTGGAGGCAAATGCATTATCAAATGCAAGGATTATTATTATGTTTTCAATTCAAATAGACCAGTGTTGGCCAATTGAACAAGTCTAAGTGAGTCTGTTTTAAATCAATGTTTGTTTCTAGTTTTTTCTTGATTGAATATTTCTCAATAATAATAATCCTTGCATTTGATATAGCGCTTTTCACATCTTCTCAACATCTCAAAGCACTTCACAGAATATGCTGTAAAGTGAATTGATTGTATATTTGTGGGTGAAACGCAGCAGCCAATTGCGCACAGCAGCGTCCCACAAACAGTCGTGGATTAAAAATGACCAATTTATTGTTGTTTTGTTTTGGAGGGATGATTATTAGGCTCTGTGTGGAGTAAGCAAACTTGCCCGAGGTTTCGCCCTCTGCCTGGAATTGAACCCAGGTGTCTCGTTTGCAAGGTGAGTGCTCTAACCACTGAGCCACATCCGTTTGGCTGCATCGGTCCTATCTCCCCATGTCCCCTTCCACCCCACCTTCTCCCTTCTCCACGGCTCCTGCCACTCCCCACTCCTTACACTCCTTTGCCCCCATTTCTCCCTTCTCCCTCTCAACCACAATCACCCGGGTGAAGTTCACCACCTGCTGCCTCAACTTCTTCCCCACCCAACTGCTGGTCACTCAACTCTCCCTTCTCTCCCCCCTGCTGGCCAACACGGTCAACCAGTCTCTCTCCTCAGGCTCTGCTTCACAGAATACACTGTAAAATGGATTGATTATATGTGGACTTAAATTAATTCATTTCCAGTCCTAAACTACATGCATTGACTCCCCGCAAGGCACGCTTTGAGCTGTTTTAAAGTCTACAGAAAGCTGGAAATCCCAAGGACTCCCGGCCACACCAGAGACCCCCAAATTCCATTTGTCTTAAAATTTAAGATTGTACAGAATTATGAAAAAAAATTCAGCTGCAATTTATAAGCAGATTTTCTTTCAAGAACTGTGAAAAAACAGGTTTCGGAAACATTGTGAAGGTGACAGTAAAAAGAGCTGGTGCTCCTCCGATTCTCTCTCCCACTCATTCCAAACCTGCAGCTCACTGCAACCAGTGATTTTACATAACTTTTAGCCTTCTGTTTGCCAGCACTGATGTATCATTATGACTGATAGGAAAATGAGTGACTTGTTTTCTAGTTAAAACTGTCACCACAGTCAGATGTGTTAGTTCCTGTTTCTAATATGACTCAACTGTGGGCCGGGGAATTGAAAGAAAGCTTTACAGAATGTGAAGGGCAATCTTGAGCGTAGTGCTTGAGCAGCTTATCAACTGAATAAATGGCCTTGGTTCCGCCAGCTCAGGTGCGAAACCCTGATTATCCGGATGTCCTTGCACTGTGAAAGGCGCTGTACAAATGTAATCTGCTGTTGTTCTTGGATATCGCCACCATCATAAGGATGTGATCAATTATAACCTCTGCTGATGGTCACTGGCAGAACCAAAGTCATTTATTCAGTTGACCTGATGACCTGCCCGCGCACCACCACTGTGCTCAGATTGCCCTTCACATTCTGTAAAGCTCTTTCGTTCATTTCTCCTTCCTACAGTTGAGTGGTATAACTGGAAAATAAATCACTGCTTGTTGCTTCCTCTTTATCTGGGTTTGCAGCTTAATCAGTGAAAACTCCAATCTGTTGGACTTGCCTCATGTGACCAAATGGAGAGTAATGACAACAACAACTTGCATTTATATGCCTTGGGGAGTAATTCCCTCAAGGCAAGGTAGAGTCCTACAGACCTTGATAGTGGAGGAAGGTCCTCAGACCCGACCTGAAAATGGAGGGGGAAAGGCGGAGGGATTAGAGGGAGAGAGTTTCAGAGTTCAAAAAAAAGCAAAAGCACATCAGGATTATTTGCTGATGTAGATCATCATTGGCAAAAAATACACCAGAAAGCAGTGAATCATGTGGCTTAGTTCTGCAATAACCCACGTGAGATTACTACCTCATGACCATAGACTCCCAAACCAGGAGGAACTGGTAACAAATTTGCTGAGTCAGTCACATAGCTATAGCTCCCTGGTCACTATTCAATTTCTTTATTATTTTTACAAAACTTCTATCCATAATTTCATTTCCGAGCTATGCTGGAATTACCCTCCTCAGGGCATCGTGTTCAAAGATCCTCAACCCAAACTTTAAATCCCCCCCTGGTCTCACCCCACCCTACCGCTGCCACCTCCTCAAACACTGCCACTGCGGGCATACCCTTCGCTCAGCGAGCACCAGCCTGCTTCACCACCATTTATGGTCGGGCTTTCAGGTTACCTACCCCACCACTCTCTCTGGAATTGCATCCCGAAGTCCCTCACCTCCTTCAAGGTCGACCTTCCACTCTGACGGGACATTCGGCTATCTCTCTCAACCTCACCCCCAGCTCGGGTGCAAACCCTGGACTGTCCAGTGCCTTGGGACGTCCTCTCGATGTGAAAGGTGCTGTGTACATGTAAATTGGGAGCTCCAGTCCTGTGAGGAGCTGAATCCATCAGTCCAGAGGCCAGGAGGTCAGCAGATGAGCCAGATTAATTCAATTGGGTTGAAATTGTCAGCCTGGCTCAGTGGTATCACCCTCATGTCTGAGTCACAAAATTGTGGGTTCAAGGGGTTGGTGCATTGCTGGAGGTGTCGTTCTTCAGATGAGATGTTAAACCAAGGTCCCGTTTGCCTGTTCTGGTGGACAATAAAGATCCCATGACACTATTCAAAAAGAAAACAACAACAAGATTGCATTTATAGAGCGCCTTTCACGTCGGGAGGATGTCCCAAGGCGCTGGACAGTTGGGTCAGGACCCGAGCAGTGGGGGGGGGAATGGTCAGGGTGAGGGGAGGGAGCGAGGAGGGGGTAGAGAGTCGAGAGGGGAGCTGAAGGTACGGTCAAAGAGAAAGATCTTGAGACCGGCCTTGAAGGAGGAAAGGGAGGAAGCGGCAAAGGCACTGGGGGATGGAGTTCCAGAGCCTCGGGGCTGAGAGGCTGAAGGCCACCGATGGTAGGGCGGTTGGGGCGGGGGACGTGGAGCAGACCGGAGCCAGAGGAACGGAGGGTACGGGCAGGTAGGTAGGGGGATAGTAGGTCGGAGAGGTAGGAGGGAGCGGGGCTGTGAAAGGGAGTTTCTCTCCCCCGGTGTCCTGGTCAACAATCCCCCAAATAAAATTAGTCACTCGCTCCATGGCTGTTTGCGGGACATTCCTGTACGCCACTGGCTGCCGCGTTTCGCCCACGCAATACCCGGTCGCTGCACCTGACGGTATTATCCCGTGAAGGGCTTTGATGACGCGGTAAAGCGCTGTATCGAACGCAAGGATTTATTAGGGTTATTATCAGTTAATAAATGGCCGTTCGCTCGTGACTTTCGAGGCGCTCCGCCCTCTCCAAAAATAAAGTTGGTTCATTTCAAACTCCTCCCCATCCCCTCCCCTCCCCATCCCCATCTCTCCCCATCCCCTCCCCTCCCCATCCCCTCTCCCTCCCCATACCCTCCCCCTCCCCTCTCCTCCTCTCCCCATCCCCTCCTCCCCACCTCCTCTCCACCCCACCCCATCCCCACCCCTCCTCTCCCCTCCCCCCTCTCCCCTTCTCTCCCCTCCTCTCCTCTCTCCTCCCCCTCCCCTCTCCCCTCCCCCCTCTCCCCTCCTCTCCTCCTCTCCCCACCCCTCCCCTCCCCTCCTCCTCTCCCCACCCCTCCCCTCCTCTCCCCACCCCTCCTCCCCTCCCCTCCTCTCCCCTCCTCTCCCCCTCCTCCTCTCCCCTCCCTAACCAGGAAGTGCTGTGTTGCAGTCCGGAGGTCCTGTGACTGCTGTTGACGCAGTTGGTGGTGTTGTGGAGGGCGGTGATGGCTGAGGGTCGGCAGTGGCAGTGGCAGTGGCTGTGTCTGTGGCGGTGGCGGTGTGTGTGTCTGTGTCTGATCTCCTGCGGCTCTGTCAGTCTGTCCTTCTCGGGCAGTCGGAGCTGTTACAGACCTCTCCCCAACCGCACGGCGCTGGGAGTCAAGTGAGTGCTCCACCCGTTACTGAGGCTGTGATTCACCTCAATCGCAGTGTGTGGGGGCAGTGTGGGGGGGGGGGGGGGGCAGTGTGGGGGGGGGGGGGGGGGCAGTGTGGGGGGGAGTGTGGGGGGAGTGTGGGGGGGGGCAGTGTGGGGGGAGTGGGGGGGGGGGGCAGTGTGGGGGGGAGTGGGGGGGGGGAGTGTGGGGGGGGCAGTGTGGGGGGGAGTGTGGGGGGGGGGGGCAGTGTGTTGGTTAGTGTGTGTGTGGTGTGGTGTGTGTGGTTGTGTGTGTGTGTGTGTGTTGGTTAGTGTGTGTGTGTGTGTGTGTTGGTTAGTGTGTGTGTGTGTGTGTGTGTTGTGTTGTTGGTGTGTGTGTGTTGTTGTGTGTGTGTGTTGGTTAGTGTGTGTGTGTGTGTGGTTGTGTGTGTGTGTTGGTTAGTGTGTGTGTGTGTGTTGGTGTGTGTGTGTGTGTGTTAGTGTGTGTGTGTGTGTTGGTTAGTGTGTGTGTGTTGGTTAGTGTGTGTGTGTGTGTGTGTGGTTAGTGTGTTGGTGTGTGTGTGTGTGTGTTGGTTAGTGTGTGTGTGTTGGTTAGTGTGTGTGTGTGTGTTGGTTAGTGTGTGTGTGTGTGTTGGTTAGTGTGTGTGTGTGTGTTGGTTAGTGTGTGTGTGTGTGTTGGTTAGTGTGTGTGTGTGTGTTGGTTAGTGTGTGTGTGTTGGTTAGTGTGTGTGTGTTGGTTAGTGTGTGTGTGTGTGTGTGTTGGTTAGTGTGTGTGTGTGTGTTGGTTAGTGTGTGTGTGTGTGTGTGTGTGTGTGTGTTGGTTAGTGTGTGTGTGTGTGTGTGTGTTGGTTAGTGTGTTGGTGTGTGTGTGTGTGTGTTGGTTAGTGTGTGTGTGTGTTGGTTAGTGTGTGTGTGTGTGTGTTGGTTAGTGTGTGTGTGTGTGTGTGTTGGTTAGTGTGTGTGTGTGTGTGTGTTGGTTAGTGTGTGTGTGTGTGTGTGTGTTGTGTTGTGTGTGTGTGTGTGTGTGTGTGTGTGTGTGTGTGTGTGTGTGTGTGTGTGTGTGTGTTGGTTAGTGTGTGTGTGTGTGTGTTGGTTAGTGTGTGTGTGTGTGTGTTGGTTAGTGTGTGTGTGTGTTGGTGTGTGTGTGTGTGTGTTGGTTAGTGTGTGTGTGTGTTGGTTAGTGTGTGTGTGTGTTGGTTAGTGTGTTGGTTAGTGTGTGTGTGTTGGTTAGTGTGTTGGTTAGTGTGTGTGTGTTGGTTAGTGTGTGCAGCTCCTCTGTCGGGTCAATCACATTCTGGCATCCAATCTCAGTGTTTAACTCGGACTTCCAACGATTGTGTTCTCCAAAGAAAGGGCTGTTTAAAGCTGGAGGTGTGGTCGGCCGCTGTGTGGTTTTGCTCTGTGCGCTCTGTTTGTTCATTTCCAGTTAAACTTTTGCTTGGAAATGGACACAAGAAAGTCAGGCGCCGCGTGAGTTTGGGGGGAAAATTGTCGCTGTTCCAACCAAGTTACGGTCAGTAATTCGTAGAAAACTCACGCTGGAAAATGATCTATATATATATATATAACACGAGACAGATTTCAATCTGGAGAAAAACGCAGCTGATTGCGCTACTTCCTGTTCCCATCACGTGAAGCTCAGGAATCCAGTCTGGGGGATCGTTCCTGGCTGAAATCCCAGCCTTTCCCAGCCTGTGGGTCTGCCCATTTATGCAGCTGTTTTGTACAGAGGGAAATGCTCTCACCCCGTACACAGTCACTCCACTTTACAATGTGTCCTGTAAACGTCTAAATGACATGATAAGGCACTGTATCAAATGCAATGATTATTATATGTGGAGTCGAAGCACTGGGCTCTGAGCCCAGAGAAGAAGTTAAGCTGCGACCAGAATGAGGAACTAGATGAAGCTCATTCCTAGTGGGTGGGAAAACTGAAACGCACCATATTTCTCTTTGACCGTGCCTTCAGCTCCCCTCTCGACTCTACCCCCTCCTCGCTCCCTCCCTTCCCTCCCCTCACCCTGACCATTTCCCCAATGCTCGGGTCCCGACCCAACTGTACAGCGCCTTGGGACGTCCTCCCGACGTGAAAGGCGCTCAATAAATGGTATCTTGTTGTTCTTGTTGTTGTTGTTAGCTTCTTGATGAATTTGTGCAAAATAATATTTCGTCAACCTCTCTTCCCCGCTCCCCCACCCGCTGGGTGACTATTGTGTAGGCAAACGCGACAACCGATCTGTCATTTTAACTCCAGTGGCTGACACTCAGGCCTCGGGGTCAGAAAATTGTGTGTGTGTATTTGTGTGTGGGCGGACGTGTGTATGTGGGGGCTGGGGGTGGGTGTTTGTAGACCCATGTGTGTGATGTATGTGTGTGCCTGACCTCGGAGTTTGAGCTCACTTGAGCCTCAGGCACTGTTGCATTGTTGGACGAGACATTAAACTCAAGTCAGATCGTGTCATCTGCATTTTAAAGATTCATCGACATGATTCTAAAGAGCAGATTACCTGATGCCTTATAATCCAGATTGTATGGTAACAATGAGATACTGGGTGACACAATGACCAGTGTAGCAGCGAGCAGCACAATGGTCTAATTTTCTGTGTTTCTTATTGGTATTCCGCTGTTTGCTCTCCATGTATCAGAGCCACTGGCGCTGATGTGGTTTTAAAACTCAGAATAAGTCAACACATTCCTCTCGCACCATAAGTTCTCTTCCTGTGCTGCTAAACTCGGGGACATCCGTGTGCTTTGCCCAGCAGATTGCTGCAGAGTAGAATGTCAAACAGTATCTGAGAGACGGACTGAACGCGTACATCCTCTCCGCAGGCCTCTAACTTGCCACATTCCTATCACATTTCACACTTCAGCAAACAACCATAAACCTCAGACTTCATTCCTGCTTTTTGTGTTGAGGAAAAACTGTTCCATTTACATCCAGTGATCACAGCTGCTCCACCCCCAGTGATGTCCCTTCCTGCTCTAATGTAACCTTGAGTAATTCCTTACAAGTGTTAACAACTAACAACGAGAAGGTTGAGGTGAAGCAATCGTGGAGTCGTGTCGTTTAGTGTAGGTTAGAACACGCGTCTCGTCTCGTAAGTGAGAGGACTTGTCTTCGTTGCCGGGTGAGGCGAAATGTTAGGCAAGTTTGCTTAATTGACATGCCTCTGTTTATCTGACACCGCTGGGAACATTGGCTGCCTCGTTTTACCCACAAATATACAATCAATTCACTTTACAGTATATTCTGTGAAGCGCTTTGCGACATCTCAAAAACGTAATAAGGCACGATATGAAATACAAGGATTATTATTGTAATAATCTGCTCTGCAGTGGCTGTTTTATACATCATCCTGACCCCAGTTCTACGTGTCCCAGTGGGTGTACGAGGCTGTGAAGATGTTAAGGGAAGTTACAGACTAGCTCCGCGTTATACCAGATTGTGTCAGAGTGCAGATTGCTGGTATATGGATATGAGAAAAACGTTTGTATTGGACCAGCAGAGTGGGCTCTTTAGGAATAGGGCACCTATTGGGGGTGAACTTTTTGTGCTGCACCTGAATGTTCTAATCTTGTTTCTTCACTTTTAAACAAAAAAAACTAAAATCTCTTATTTACATTTAAAAAGTAATAATGAAATAAAATAATTTGGGCACTCACTCCATGGCTGTTTGTGGGACACTGCTGTACGGAATTGGTTGCCATGTTTCGCCCACAGAATAGTCACCCATCCCACTTTACTGTATATTCGCCCACAAAATACACAGTCACTACACTTTACAGTATATTCTGTGAAGTTCTTCGAGGCATCTCAATAATTTGGTATAATATATTAATAATAATCCTTGCATTTCACATATTGCCTTGCATTTTGATATAGGCACCTGGTTGTTAGTCGGTTGCCGAGTTGCTTTTCCGGGGGTAATAATTCCTTCAAAAAAAATTCAATCCACGACTGTTGGTGGGACACTGCTATATATTTGCCACATTTTGGCCATAAAATATACAGTGAATTCACTTTACAATAGCACTTTGTGAAGTCTTGAAGACACTATATCAAATGCAAGGATTATTATTATATCAAAATGCAAAGATTATTATTATTTCTAATGTGTTAATGATTTTTCCTAGGACGTATCCTCGCCCCCACGAATACCTATCCATTTCAGCTTTGCCCAAGAGCTGGGACTGGCGTAATATCAATGGCATCAACTACGTGAGCACCACCAGGAACCAACACATCCCCCAGTACTGCGGCTCCTGCTGGGCTCACGGTTCCACCAGCGCCCTGGCAGGTATGTTCCTGGTTTCAGCAAACTATCATCTGGGGGGGGGCGTGCGGGGGGTTGCTCACTGTTCTATTGAATCCCTTTTGTTGACGCCCCTCGGTTAGCAGAGCCCAGTGGATGATGAACTCACTGGGTGCCATGGAGAAAAACAGCCAGGAGCTTGGCACAGCTTGGATTATAAAATGTTTGTAAATTAGTTGATTTCTCCCTGCGCAACGATGAGTTGTTTCCACAGAAACAGGAGCTGCGAGGCTGTGTGTTGGCAAGTGACCCGGGAAGGGCAAGGGCCAACCCCTGCCAGTCTCAACTAGAAGCGTGAGAACAGCCTGGAGTTCTGCCCGCTCCCACTCTCTCTTTGCACACCAGCCTCCCTCCGCCCGGCACCCAGCCACGATGGTATATAGCCAGGGCCAAGAGAAAACTGGAATTATTTGCCAAAAATTGCGACGAGACTGGCCAAAAAACAGCGTTGCTCACCAGTGCCCTGACTGCAGGGTTACAGGAGGTCACTACGTCCTGCCTCTCAGGGCCAACCACCGCGCACAGACAGACACAGAAAGAGACACACACACACACACACACAGAGAATCCCAAAGAGAGACACCCATTCATACAGATGCAGAGAGACACATACATCGGAGGGGATGTTTTTAGTGGAGGATGTTGTTTATAGCGGATTCCACGGAAAAATTGCCGCTGGACTTTTCAATCGGGCAAGTAAATAACCAATGAGGCAGGTCCCAGCCTGGCACTAACTGACTGACTGATGAACATTCCTCCATTTCAGATCGGATCAACATCAAGCGTAAAAGTGCCTGGCCGTCCGCCTACCTCTCCGTGCAGAACGTGATTGACTGTGCTAATTCCGGCTCCTGTGAAGGTGGGGATCACAGTGGCGTGTGGGCATATGCCAACACCAATGGCATTCCCGACGAAACCTGTAACAACTACCAGGCTAAAGACCAGAGTAAGTGTATTTGCAGTAGATGGGGATAGGGTGGGGGGCGCTGAGTAAATGGTGGGAGGGTGCTGAGTATCTCAGACAGGTCAGACATTGACCTCAGGGTCCTTGGAATATACAGGGTTAAAATCAGGCAGTCCCACATCATAGACAGTGGGGGCTGGGGCTATTCGCCTCATAAAAGTGACCAACCCTTTAATTGAGTTTTACTCAAACCGACTCCCACCCCCACCACCGCCTGTATCACCCATTCAGCACAATGCAGAAAGCCACTGCAGACAATGACCCCTCTGTGTCCGCTCCTTGGAGGAATCCCAGGCTTGATAGTCCATCCATCTGACACTTTCTATCTTTTGTCCCACGTTTAGCTTGCAAGCCATTTAATCAGTGTGGCACCTGCACAACTTTCAATGTCTGCAATGTGGTGCGAAATTACACCCTGTGGAAGGTGGGAGACTACGGCTCCGTCAATGGAAGAAAGAAGATGATGGCAGAGATCTACACCAATGGGCCCATCAGGTAAAAGCTTCCAGTGTCATAGACTTTACAGCCCAGAAGATCATTCAGCCCATCATATCTGGCTTGGAACATGAGGTGGGGGTGGGAAAGATGACCGAAAGTGTAGTCAAAGAGACAGGTCTTGAGATGGACATTATTAAATTCTCCCGATTGCCTCCACCTCATAAACTCCCTTCAAAAGCTGAAGACTTCAATCAGGTCTCCTCTCAACCTTCTCAGTTCCAATGAAAATAGGCCAGTTCCTGGAATCTCAGTTCATATTCAGATCAAACCACCGATCACTGGCATAATTCCAATATATCTCCTCCACACCCTCCGTGCCCTGACATCCTTCATAGAGTGAGGTACCCTAGACTGGCTAGTACCTCCTGTCTCTCTGGACTATCAAGGTCTACAGTTACTGGAATGGGATTAGTATAATGTGAAATTGTTCTTGAGCGATTTCCAGATTGAAACAACACTTGTAAAGAACCAGGATAAAGGCTCAGCCCTGAGCCCGAGCCTCAGATATGAGACTTGGTGATCACTGACCACACTCCTCGAGCTACTGTTAAGTATCCCACTAACAGGTCCTGTCAGGCAACAACAACAACATTACATTTGTATAGCGCCTATTACATTGGGAGAACGTCCCAAGGTGCTGGACAGTCAGAGTTTCGGACCCGACCTGGCAGCTAAACATAGTAATAATAATAATAATCCTTGCATTTGATATAGCGCTTTTCACGTCGAGAGGACATCCCAAAGCGCTTCACAGAACACACTGTAAAGTGAATTGACTATATTTGTGGGCGAACGCGGCAGCCAATTGCACACAGCAATGTCCCACAAACAGTCGTAGATTGAAAATGACCAATTTATTATTGTTTTTGGTTTTGGAGGGATTATTATTAGGCTCTGTGTGGAGTAAGGAAACTTGCCCAAGGTTTCGCCCTGACCTGCCTGGAATTGAACTCAGGTCTCTCGCTTGCAAAGCGAGTGCTCTAACCACTGAGCTACAGGACTCCATGTCCATGCTGCCATGTACTGGTTAGAGCGCTCACCTCACAAGCAAGAGGACACAGGTTTGATTATCGGGCAGGTTGAAATGTTGGGTAAGCTTCCACGCACATGTTTACCTAACAGTAAGTAGGAACCTAGTTGTTAGTTGATTGGCAGATCGCTTTCCGGGGGTAATAATCGCTTCAAAGAAAAAAATGTGGTCATTCAGTTCACGACTGTTTGTGGAATACTGCTGTGAACTATTGGCTGCCACGTTTCGCCCACAAAATATAGTCAATTCACTTTACAATATATTCTGTGAAGCATTTTGAGATGTCTCAACAAAGTCACATAATAATATGATGATGGACTGGCCTCCTTGCTGCCAAGCTGTTCAGGACTGTTGATCAGCCAGTGACCGGCTGCTGTTGTTTTTCTAGCTGTGGCATTATGGCCACCCAAAAACTGGAAGCCTACACAGGGGGTGTGTATAGCGAATACCAGCTGGACCCCGAAATAAACCACATTCTCTCAGTGGCCGGGTGGGGCACGGACTCGGATGGAGTTGAGTACTGGATTGTCCGCAACTCCTGGGGGGAACCATGGGTAAGTGACTGGGGAGGCACGGGCTGGGGTCAATGTGGCACCCGGGCGGGGGGGCGGCTGTGTTGTGGCTGCGCTGGGGATCACTGCACTGAAGCACTCTGAGACGCTGTGTACTATAACAATAATACTTGCATTTGCTATAGCGCCATCGTTCAAGACGTCTCAAAGCGCATCACGGAATAACAGTAAAGTGAATTGACTGTATTCTGTGGGCAAAACGTGGCAGCCAATTGCGCACAAAAAATTGCAGGTTGTTGCCGTCGTTGAACGCTCGCTGTGTTTCAGGGCGAACATGGCTGGCTGAGGATCGTCACCAGCGCCTACAAAGGAGGGGAGGGCAACTCCTACAACCTGGCCATCGAGGATAACTGCATGTACGGAGACCCCATCTTACCCTAGATGACGGTCGTGTTTCCACATGGCGACACAGAAACCACTGTGAGCTACTCCACGGGGAAGCTTCCCACTAATCAAAAGTCGATCATAAACATAAAGTGTTCAGGATTTTCCAAATTTTCTGCTTTTGTGAGACAATCCAGGGACTGCGCAAATGATTTTTAACCCAAGTCAAGCTGAACAAAGAGAAATAAATGACAGGGTTTGTAGGGCAGCATAGAACCCCATCTCTTGTCATCCATCTGTCACCCTCCCGCCCCACCCCACCCCGGGTCTCTCCCTGCTTCCGCCTGGTGCGAGACGAGGGTACCTCCTTTACACACCCAAGTGCTTTTAAACTGAAGCTGTGCTCCTTTCCCTACTCCCCCCACCCCACAACACCCCCCAGCCCAGCAACAAGAGGTTGGGATGGAAGCTTTATTTCTTATTTGTGGGCCTCTTAAAGATTGACATCATGTACAGAAAGCAACAGTAACTGAATTAAGTTTTGCTGGAAAAACTGAATTAAAAATGGAAGAATTTCTAATTGTCACGTGTTTGTGTTGTGATGCTGGTGTCCAGTATGAGCGAGCGAGGTTTGAAATCAACTTGAAGTTGAAGTGAGCTTTCTGGAAATGGGGCCACAGCAATGTTTATTTCAAAAACGTAACTTAAAACAACTCCAGTCTTCAACATTATGATGTACAACTGAGTACACGTACACTCACGCAAGTACAAAAACACACATACACACACTTACACAGTACTCACCGCTCAGTGTAAACAAACAGACCCGGTTAACACTGAGCGGTTCCCAGTGGCTGCTGTGTGATGGTAACAGACAGGTCTCAGGCTGTGTCTGAGACGCCACGCCTCAGGGAACCACTCTCTCCCGGCACTAGCACGTCTGAAGTTCCACAAGTCTTTCTTCCCGTCTGGCGGTCCTTACACTGGCTCAATTCATCATGATGAAGTTGGATTTGCAGTGTGCTGGGAAAGGAAGGCAACGTTAAGACTGCCATCCCACCAAGTACCTCCCTCACCCTACTTCCATGCAGCACAACCTACCCCCAATACACAGCTTGAAATGGAATGCTGGAATAGAGCCAACCCTCTGTGAAGGTCTCCAACAACAATAACTTGGATTTATATAGTACCCTCCACGCCGGATGGTGTCTCAGAGCGCTTTACAGTAACAGCACCTGGGACCGAGCCAGGCCAGTCCAGTTCCTAAACCAGGCTTGTAGACAGTATTCCAGGGGACTGCTGAGGACAGCCCAGCCTGGTGCATTGCCAGGACCTGGAAGGACAGACTAGCCACTGAGCAGAAAATCCTCCCACTCAGTCCGTTAAACCAAAGTCCTATCAGGTAGGGTGATCCCAGCTGGATAAACAGAACAGGTGGCCAGACAGCGATACCAATAGCAAGCTAATGCGGTTTTAGCTGGTTAGTCTCCATCAATGAACTCTCCTGGGGTCCTCAAGCCTTAAATCTTACCATCCTGCGCCGAATACTGTCTGGAATTAGATGAGCAGGATGCAACTATCCAGGAAGAGAATACGCTTTCCTTTCCAATACACAGGAATTTCCACATGTAGGTGGAATGGATGGAATTCTAAGTTTGTATTTTAAGCATGGCGTGGTTTTCCAGACCCCTGGCCGACCAAAGAAAAAATACTCAATTTTTTAAATATATTTGTCCAATTCCCCTATTATAGATTCTGCATTCACCAGCACTTCAGGTAGAGAACTCATCACATTAAAACACCTCAAAGAGCTTCATACAGCAGAACCCTGTTCAGACACAGCAGCACCAGCAAACAGCCACAAGTTGATCGAGCGATCAATCTGGAGAACTGTTGGCCAGGACGATTTTTAATGTCCACATCGAACGGTGGGCAGGTAGACAGGATCTCAGGTTATGTATCAACTAAAGGATGCACCTAGTCTATGCAGAGCGAGATATACACAACCCTTGGAGGTTAGGACAGAAAGCCTAGGCATCGCATCTGCGACCATTCACTCACCAATGAACTCAGCTACAGGGTCACACTCGCCTTCAGTTCTGATCGTTCCCACGATGCTGTCATTCTCCAGGATGGGGAGGAAAAGGTGCACAAAGTCCGACGTGTAGGGAGGAGCGATGACATCTAGCACCTGTCAGGACAGCCCACATCAGAGCGACTCAGTGCCAACCTCACCCGCAGTGCCAATCCCATTGGATTCTTTATTGAACATATCACTGCTTTTACACTCAGTCAAGCCACAATTGTAATTAAAGTGATTGTAGTTTGAGTGCCTCACGACCCCACCCCCTTCTGCCCCATCCCCTTACTACCCACCTCCTCACTGCCCCGACCCCTCCGCCCGCGTCACTAACCTCAGTGACAAAGTATCTGATGAGGGAGATGTCCGTGTCCAGCTTCTCCAGACACTTGCGCATGTAGCTGACCACAGGCAGCACGTAGCCCCGGCTCAGCAGGTGCACCATCCTGTCCAACAGCGTCTTCTTCAGCTCCAGCTAACAGCACGACACAGAGTGACATAGCGTTAGAGACACACACATACACACACACAGCATTAAACACACACACTTTATGAATATTACCTGCTCCATGACGTCCAGCTGCGAATGTTCCGTCTCGAAGAGCTTGACCAGCAGCTGTAGGACCTGGGGGTGGAGGAGCTGGTGACAGGTGCTGATCTGAAACACCAAACAGCATTAATCCATGAACATCTTCTAATGCTTCCAATCCACTGTTTGGAAAGCTTCATTTAACAGATTTACAAGATGGCAAGGTGCAAAAGAAAACCCAGAAAACGTTCACGAGGTAGATTGACTTCCGTTGTTAAAACAAGTGGAAAAACAGCAGTATGTGTACTGAGCAGCATGTGTTATCTTAAAAGACTTTCTATCTGAAGCTCAGTTACAGACAGACTCCGTGGTCTGTACACTCATGTGTACTGTCGTTTCTACCTAAAGCAAACTGTGTCTCTTGATCAATGACCCTCCTTACCTCCCGCCTCTCTCGTTCCATCCCAAACTTTCCTGTTTTCATTTCATTCACTATTGCTTTGGTGATTGCCTCCTTCTTTTCCTCTCTCTCTCAACCCCTCCCTATTTTTGTCCCCCCTACTTCAACCTCTGCCTACTTGGGGGGGGGTGTGTATGTGCGTGTGTGGGAGCGGGGGGGGGGGGGAGGGGAGGGTAGTTGGCAGTGTGCGTGTGTGTAGCAGGGGTTGGTGGCTGTGAGTGTTTACCTCGTCCAGTAAGGCTAAATGCACTGGTGTGTGGTCCGTCTGCAGCTGGAAATAACTGGGCTCCGATACCGTCCAGTCTACCCACTTTAGCACCCCCATCGCCACCACTGGGAATCTGCAGCACAGACAGTGTGTGAGAGAGGGCAGCCCAGTGCGTGTCGCTCCCCAACACTACTTGGGAGAGGAGCCGCCCCTGGGATGGGAATGGTGGGGTGAATGTTAGGGCTGCGGTGGGCGGGGGGACTCACCGGATGCACTGGTACAGGGTGCCCAGCTCAGCCACCAGCTCTGACGCCCCTTTGTTCTCGTTGCAGCACAGATTGTGCACAGTCTCGATCGCCTTTGAGGTGGACTTCAGCTCGTCCTTGTTAATGTTCACTCGCTTGTTCTGTCACACAGCAGCAACATCTCAGCGTTACACCTTCCCTGCGCTCCCCCTTCTCCCCCCCACCAAGACCCCGGCCCTTCCCAAACCAAGAGTGCAGCAGGCATGGAAGACAAACAGTTTCCTAGTCTGTGTATACAGGCCAGCGAAGGAGGTCAGGCAGCTGCTAACCTTTTTCCAGGACTCCACCACACTGGCAGCGTAGGCCAGGATGTAGATGTATTTGTGTTTATGCTCAGGGTTGATTTTGGCGCCAGGTTTGAAGAGAGACTGCATAAAGAGATCCAGGAAGGCAGGCACTCGGATCTGCAGAGAGACAAACACAGCCCAGGGTTGCAGTCAGACACTGTTACAGGCAGTTTGCAATTTTCTAACTTTACAGCAACAAATTCAACCTTTAATTCATTGTTGGGCAGTGGGAGGGACTTTGCATGGAGGCTGGGGGGGCTTGGGCACTGTGTGAGTCTGGGGGTCGGGGGAAGAGTGTACATGCGCGTGTGTATGTGCACGTGTGGGGGGCTGTGTGTGTTTGTGGGGGTGGAGTTGTGTATGTGGGGTGGTGGGTGGGGGGAGCAGAATCGGTCTTGGCTGACAGTTGAACAAGGTGATGGCGGGAAACTCAGAGGCTCCCAGCTCATGTTGCTGGTATCATTACAAAAGGTGTTTCCTGTCTGTCTGCGGCCTTACAACTGTCTCAGTACAAAAACAGAATTGAACCTGGCCAGAGTTTATACATAGCCCTCTAGCCAGGCCATGGGTCTGAGACCGTTACAAATGTACCACAGAGGGAGAAAGAGGTGGGGAGGGGAGGGAGAGAGAGACAGCAGAGGGGCAGCAACAGCTTTCTGTGTACAAAAGACCCCCCGGCCCGTGGCCACAAATGAACTAACTTGTCAAGGTTATGGATTGTTATGGATTAAAGTCCCATTCGATGGCATTGCACTCAGTGTGTAAACAGAGCCCTTGGGAACGAGACCCAGGAAACCAGCAATCCCACATGATTCTTACCAACTCCACTGGCGGCGGGTCCATGCTGGTGAACATCTTGTACAGCACGGTGATGTCAGCGGGATTGAGGGCACCCTTAGACAACATGGCACCCAGTGCCTGGCACGCTCGGGGGTAGGATGCCGCCGTGCCCAGCGCCAGCGTAATCTGACTGGCATCGTGCCCTCTGCAAGCAGGAAACAATAGATCAGACAGCTGTGTTTTTATCTCGATGTGTGAGTGAGAGCTGGAAAATTACTGAGCTGTTTGTGAGAACAGAAACTGCACAGCTGGTTAACCAACATCATTAGGTTAGATGGATCACAGTGTCTGTCACAGGATCTCTGAACAAACAGACAATGGTTCAAACCTCAATGCACATGGGGGAATGTGTGTGAGGAGAGGTCGAGGCCTGAATCAATCCACCCCCGTGTACACAGGCTGGGAAACTGCGTTTGTCCTCCACGCCTGGTAATCCTGCTGCACTCTAGGTTTGGGAGGGGGCGAGATCTTGGTGGGGGGAGGTGGGAGCACAGGGAAGTTGTAACGCTGAGATGTTGCTGTGTGACAGAACAAGCAAGTGAACATGAACAAGGATGAACTGAAGTCCGTCCGCCTCGAGACTGTGGACAATCTGTACTGCAACGAACAAATGGGTGGCTGAGCTGGGCACCCTGTACCAGTGCATCCGGTGAGTACTCCCACCCACCACAGCTCCAAAATTCATCCCACCATCCCCACCCCAGCCTGGATATCAGCTCCAGTACCAACACAATAATAATAATAATTGCATTTGATATGTATAACACCTTATCACGTTGTTGAGACACGCTTCACAGAATATATTCTGAAGTGGAGTTACTGTATATTCTGTGGGTGAAACGTGGCAGTAAATTGTGTATAGCGGTGTCCCACAGTGGTGGATTGAGTGACCAATTTTTTTTTGAGGGATTATTACCAGGGCCAATAGCAAACTGTAGCCGCAATTTTCCACCCAATCCACTACAAATCTACTACAGTGGAGTCCTGTAGCTCAGTGGTTAGAGCATTCGCTTTGCAAGTGAGAGACCTGAGTTCAATTCCAGGCAGAGGGCGAAACCTTGGGCAAGTTTCCTTACTCCACACAGAGCCTAATAATAATCCCTCCAAAACCAAAAACAATAATAAAATTGGTCATTTTCAATCTACGACTGTTTGTGGACATTGCTGTGCGCAATTGGCTGCCGCGTTCGCCCACAAATATACAGTCAATTCACTTTACAGTCTATTCTGTGAAGCGCTTTGGGACGTCCTCCCGACGTGAAAAGCGCTATATCAAATGCAAGGATAATTATTATAAACAGCGCCCTCCGCCATAAACCTTTAAAAACTGAAGTTTCCTCGGCCCCAGGTCTCTGCGCGCTGCTGCCAGATGTTTGCTGGCCATGCTGCTTGGCTCTTGCCCCGGGGACAGGGCTGTGGCTGAACTTACTTCTCGTGAGCGTATCTCTGAACCTCCTGTGCGATCCTGCGCACGGCTGCCCCACCCTGCTCCTCCTGGGCCAGCACCGACATGATGGACTGTGCGTACAGGTAGGTGTGCTCCCCGTGACACACCATCTTCTGCAGATACAAACCAGACAAACGTGCTGCGAGATTGCTTCAGGCCTCGGGTTTTCCTCACACGCCCATCCCCTGTGTACACATCTCACCCACCGTCCTGCTGCCCCCCCCTCCCCCAGCCCAGGACAGGTTGACATGGCCACAACTGAAACGTCATTCCATTTTCACCCACGTCTACACCCGGAACTTGCAGCAGGAACCCTGGCTGATCTTTACCGCCCTGCGCTGTCTACTTCAGCACGGTGATGTCAGTGGGATTGAGGGCCGCGGGAAGAAGCGCCTCTGCCCTACCGCCACCACCACCAAGCAATCACAAGAGTCTAGGTAAATCTGCGTTCGATCGGTAGTGCTTTTTCTTGATGGTATAAATCAAGAAATATTTGAGAAGATTTATTTGTTTGGCCGACCATGTTTGGCTGGTTTACATGTCTGATCGGAACGCTCACCGCAAACTCGGGCAGGTTTGTCTCCAGATGCTCCTCTCCTCCGTCCACCAGCGTTGCCAGGGAGGTGCGCAGCACCCGGGAGAAGACCTCCAGCTGCTGGCAGGCTGTGGAGACGCTGGTGATCTCACCCTGGTAACCCGCGTCTGAGATCAGCTGCAGCCAGAGGAGCAAAGCGTCAACAATCAACAGCAAAGTCTGTGTCACAGTCAACCAGCTCAGCCTCCCATCCTCCCAACAACAGCACCTGATCATCATTATCTCCAACAACTTAAAGTGGTTTAAACAATACGTTGATCTGCAGGTTGAGCCTATTACATAGGGAATATGGTGGCTAACACGATTCACTCGTACACAGCGTCTTTCACGTCAGGTGGATGTCCCAAAGCGCTTGACAATTTTCACTGCGCACCCGAGCTGAGGTGGGGGGGGTTGAGGAGGGAAAGTTGACTGAAAGAACACAGCTACAAGCTGAAAGACCAATTAAAATGTTATGATGCTTTAAATGGGAGAAGAATATTGTGCGGAACATGACTGAGTATTAGGATGGCGTCACCTTGACAGTGAAGTTCAGCATCAGGCAGTCTGGGTGAGCCTCAGCCAGCTTATAGAAGAGATCTCTCCAGGTCACATGTGCGATCATCTGCTCCAGCCAGGCTGGGGTCTGCATAACATAGCAAACGCACGTCAACAAACCACCACAAATCACATTGCCAGGTACTGACTGAAACACACACATATTGCCAGCCACTCACACACACATTGCCAGCCACTCACACACATCCTGCCAGTCACTCACATAGCCGTACACACACTGCTAGATGTTCACACGCACACACACACACACACACTGCCAGCCACTCAAACACACCCATACATAATGCCAGGCACTCATACACCCAAACATACTGCCAGGCATTGATTTCCATACACACATTGCCAGGTATTGATTGGTACCCATACATTGCCAGAATAGTGCTGTGGGATCTGTAACTACCAACAGGCAGACAGAACTGTGATTTAACCACTCATCTGAGTCTCAACCTAGATTATGAGCTAAAAGTCTGATGTGGGGCTTGAAGCCACAACCTACTAATCCAGAGACTCCAGAGGCCAGAGTGAGCCAGGCTGGCAGCATAGGCGTGGGATTCAGAGGCAGAGTGGAGAGAGGGAGGGTGTGAGCGAGGGAGAGAGAGAGGCAGAGTGGAGTGAGTGAGTGAATGAGCGAGGGAGGGAGGGAGGGAGCGAGAGAGCGAGGAGCTGTTATGTTCAGTGTATATTTGGTTTATGTGGTTACCAGCCTGTGTAATAAAAGTTCTCTGGCCAGCTTTGCCTGAGTGCCGCAATTTAAATCATGGGAGCACAAACGCAGCAAAACTGACCAAGAACATTTTGTGAAGTACAGCATCTGCTCTCTGATGCCTTTCTCGGAATGCAACGTGCTGTAACTATACAGACTAGTGTGGGGGAGAACGGCATGCAGTACCTCTCCCTCCTCTGTGAAGATGGAGTCAGCTTTCCGAGGATCAAAGTGTTTGATCAGCAAATTCTTCAAATGATTCTCCACGGTCTCCTGGACGTGAGCAGGTTCCACACCTGGGGACAGAGCGATACCCAGTGTGGGACTGCTGGTTTCCTGGGTCCCGTTTCCGAGGGCCAGCGCACAACAAAACTCAACAACTTGCACGGCAGGCCGGACATCTCAAAGTGATTCATAATAATAATAATCCTTACATTTGATGTAGCGCCTTATCAAGTCATCAAGATGTCTGAAAGGGCTTCAGAGGATTATACTGTAAAGTGTAGTGACTGTGTATTTTTTGGGCGAAACACTAATTTGCGCACAGCAGTGCCCCACAAACAGCCATGAAGTGAGTGACCAATTTACTTTGGGGGGATTGTTGGCCAAGACATCGGGAGAGAGAGAGAGATGCCCTTCTCTTTTCGAATAGGACCATGGGATCTTTAATGTCCACCTGAACAGGTGGCCCTTTTTGTAAATGAATCTCAACCTAAGCCAGCCTTGCTGGGAACTATAATTATTATTATTATTATATTATAACTGCTCGATTTGACCATCACACGGTTCAGACCTGTACCCGCTTCTCTTGTTGATTGGTTTGATAGCCACAAAAACCCAAGGCTCAAGGTCAGAATTCAAAGCTATTGTTGGGGTGGGGGGCTCGGGATGATTCAGGAGCGGGGCAGATGTTACCTGTCTGAATGAGCCACTCTGCCAGGAGGTTGACTGTCTGTGCCACCGCGGTGTAATTCTCTGATAACATCTGGATCACATGTTCGGGTGAACCACCCGCCTGGAAATACCTGACACCAACACAGAGACAGAAAACTCAGCACAGAGGAACCAGGAGAGGACTACCACAGTCATGACCACTATTGCTGGTGTTAAAATATTGGCCACGAGGTGGCAGCTCAACCTCTTTACACCTTTATGAAGTAGGTGTCAATCTGGCTTTATTGGGAGCACTGTTCCCTCCGAGCAAGGTGATTTCAAGCCCTACTTTGGGACTTTGAGCTTACGGTCTAGAGTGCTGGGTTCGCTTAACAAAATGCAATGGCACTACACTTTACAGTAATCCTTGCTTTGAGACAGTGAGTGTTGAGTTTGTGAAGCCCAGAGTGGCATCTCAGTCATTATTTGAGTAATATTGCAGGGTTGATGATTTGAGCAATATTGCAGGGTTGATGATTTGAGTAATATTGCAGGGTTGATGATTTGAGTAATATTGCAGGGTTGATGATTTGAGTAATATTGCAGGGTTGATGTGCGGCAGGGGATGGGGGACACAATATCTGCACTCTGCCTAAGGATAAACCTTGTAAATGATCGGCAGCCTAAACTTTAATAGCCGAGTCACGGATTAGAAAGAGGGAGGGCTAAACATCCCTCGGTGCTCAGTTACGGATCTCAGCTTGATTGGTGGAGGGCTACAATTGGCTTCAGTGCGCATGGTTTAACAAGGAGAAAACCGACTCAAGTTCCCACCTCAGATCACGACTGGTAGTTCCCATGTCGAAAGTGCAGATATCTAGGCGGGCAGATGCGGCCAGTCTGTGCTATCCCCACGCTCAAATGGCCTAAATATATCAGATAATCTACCGAAACTCAGTGTTCCAGCTTCTGGCTCTAGGCTGGAGGGTGCTTGGGAACGATGGAACTTCAACTCACAAAGTGGAGCAGATTGAGGGGCGGAAAGCAGCTGGGAGCAAGGTTGGGTTTGAGGTAGTGACTAACGGAGCCTCGACTTACCTTTTCAGTGTGTTAAAGACGGACGGCTCCATGATATAGTCTCGACTTGAAAACTTCCCCAGACATTCCGTCTGCACCTCCGCATCATCTTCACCATCTCCATCTTCATCTTCATGCTGCGGGAACATCAAAGCATGAGCCACCGTGGTGAGCCCAGCACACAGTGACACTGGGGGAGAGAGGAGCCCAGCACTGGGAGAGAGGAGCCTGACCCCGGAGGAGAGACGAGTCTGACGCCAGGGGAGAGCGCTCAGTCCCAGCTCCGCTATCATCCCACAGCCAAGAAGCTCCACCACGCTGTCTAGTGGGGTCTGGGTGAGGATTGGGTGACTTACTTTACAATAATAATAACCCTTACACATGATATAGCGACTTATCGTGTTCCGCGAGGCTTCAGGGAATACGCCGTGAAGTGAACCGCGGGCGAACCGAGGCGGCCAGTGGCGCACAGCACTGTTTGTGGGCACAGGCAGTGGCGGATTGGGTGACTGATTATTATTATTATTATTTAAAAAAAAGGGATTATTAAAGGATAGCCAATCAACTGCGGTCCTATTTACTGCTGATAAACAGGCGCTTGGAGTAAGGAAACTTACCTGAGGATCCCCCCCCACCCCGCGCTGGGCTCAGGTTTGGCTCTGCGGGTTATTTAGGACGGACCGGGGGGGGGGGGGGGCAGTAGTAGTGCAGAGTAAATGGTGGGCAACCTGTGCCCCCCCCCACCCCGCGGACCATCCAGAAGAAGCCCCCGAATATGCATGCGAGTCCGGAGAAGAAAACAACAATCTGCACTGGATGCAGCTCCCCCCCTCCCCCCGCGACCCCCCACCATCCCCTCCCCCCCGCGACCCCCACCATCCCTCCCCCCGCGACCCCCACATCCCTCCCCCCCGCGACCCCCCACCATCCCCCCCCCCGCGACCCCCCCACCATCCCCTCCCCCCCGCGACCCCCCACCATCCCCTCCCCCCCGCGACCCCCACCATCCCCTCCCCCCCGCGACCCCCCACCATCCCTCCCCCGCGACCCCCCACCATCCCCTCCCCCCCGCGACCCCCCACCCTCCCCCCGCGACCCCCCCCCCCCCCCCGCGACCCCCCCACCCTCCCCCCCCCCCCGCGACCCCCCACCTCCCCTCCCCCCGCGACCCCCCCCCCCCCCCCCCCCCGCGACCCCCCCCCCCCACCCTCCCCTCCCCCCCCACCCTCCCTCCCCCCCGCGACCCCCCACCCTCCCCTCCCCCCCGCGACCCCCCCCATCCCCTCCCCCCGCGACCCCCCGCGACCCCCCACCCTCCCTCCCCCCCGCGACCCCCACCTCCCCTCCCCTCCCCCCCACCCTCCCCTCCCCCCCGCGACCCCCCACCATCCCCTCCCCCCCCCCGCGACCCCCCACCCTCCCCTCCCCCCCACCCTCCCCTCCCCCCCGCGACCCCCCACCCTCCCCTCCCCCCCCGCGACCCCCACCCTCCCCCCAGACTCCCTCCCCCCCGCGACCCCCCCTCCCCTCCCTCCCCCACCATCCCCTTCCCTGATTTATGCCGTGAATGAAGAATTATTCAGTTAAGAACATGGGACTGTGTTGTTGTTGGTTCCCCCCACAGCCCCCGCCCTCCCGCCCGCCCGCCCGCCCCGCGGGTGTAGAGCAGCTCAGGCGGGAATGTGAGGAGCTCTCCCCCCCCCCCCCCCCCGGGCACAGGCCCACACCCCCCCACACCGCGCGTTCCTCACCGCAGAGCCGTCCTGATCCTCCCAGTCCGCCGCCGTTCCGAAGTAATCCTCACTCATCCTCCCGCCCTCAGCGGCTGCGGCTCCTCCCGGTCCCCGCGCCCGCCACAGCGCCCCCTACCGCCGGGTAGACTCTCCTCCGCCACAGCGCCCCCGACCGTCGGGTCGACGCCCCTCCCCTCCACCGCCCGCCACAGCGCCCCCTCCTGCTGGGCGGACTGCCCTCCGCCCCCGACTGTCGGGGACTCTGCGCCGCCCTCAGGATCACTTTGAGAGACGTTTCAAAGCGCTTCACAGAACCGACCGCGAAGTGAATCGACTCAGTTTTGTGGGGCGACACGTGGCCCAAAAAAAAATATAATAATTTGGCCACTCAATCCCCGGCTGTTAAACACACGGCCCCCAATGCACTGGACAATACCTCCTGCGAAGCGCTTTGAGAAGACTCGGAAGAGGGGACCGAACCGCTACGTCAGTTGCTAAGGGTTAAATTCCGCACAGGTTCACATCAGGAGCTCTTGGGATTAATCCGGGTATTTTCCGGTGACACGACCTACCCCGGGAGCGGAGTCCCTGAGGCTTGACGGAAATTCTGGCGGAAATCCTGGGGGAACCATTGCGAATGAGACTCCCGCCCGAACGACTCTGTACTGAATTACGCGCGAACAGCAGTGTAGGCATCGAGTTCTCGAACTGAAATCGGTACCAGGAGGTGAGCAGAGCAACGACGACGGGAGTCGTTCCTGAACAATCCCACGTCATTGGCAGGTGTGTCGCTTCCACCTCAGGATTGGCGGTACACATAAAGAATACTTTTACACTTACCGTTCGGCACTTTACAATCGATTTAGTTTGTTGCGCTGCGCGCCGCGACCACGTGCGCTTCCATATCTTTCTTGCAAGAGTTTTTTTTTTTAGGGTCTGCTTACCCAATTCATTAAGCTTCCTGCTGCTTCTCCAGCTAGGACCACCCTACTTGTTTAGCTGTTGAACAAGTTAAAAAAAAAGCGGGTAAAAACATCAATATTTTGCTAATGCCATGTGCTGTGTGTTCAAATGGATGTGGAGTAAATTCTGGATAACTGGTCACTCCAAGGGAAAAGAGCTGTGGTGAGTTTAGTTGGGCATAAGTCCTCCTTGGCCACAAGGGGGTACTGTGACTGATGCAGGTGTTCAGCAGAGGTTGGGCGTACATTCTCAGATACATCACAGAGGCCTCTGATCTATTGGAGGGCTGTGCTGTGGCCTCCCATCATATCCTGACAGGATAGGGCTGTGTGATACAAGATGAGGTATTCTACCAATTTTACATTGTAATCACTCATTTCTAGAATACGACCAGTTACATGTTAAGCGGAGCACCAAGTAAAGCTCCCTTATCGTGGAGTCCTGTAGCTCAGTGGTTAGAGCACTCGCTTTGCAAGCGAGAGACCTGAGTTCAATTCCAGGCAGGTCAGGGCGAAACCTTGGGCAAGTTTCCTTACTCCACACAGAGCCTAATAATAATCCCTCCAAAACCAAAAACAATAATAAATTGGTCATTTTCAATCTACGACTGTTTGTGGGACATTGCTGTGCGCAATTGGCTGCCGCGTTCGCCCACAAATATACAGTCAATTCACTTTACAGTGTGTTCTGTGAAGCGCTTTGGGACGTCCTCCCGACGTGAAAAGTGCTATATCAACTATAGGGATTATTATTATTATTATGATATTATTAACATTTTGCTTGGGAAACTGCCAGGATATTAACAGTATGGCCACTTAAGTAGGTAGGGAATCACTAGTTAAGTCAGGGTCACATTATCAGGAGTTTACCGTATACCTTGGAACTTTGAACTCAGTTTAGCCTGACATTCTGGTGCAATGCTAGAGGAACACATCAAGGTGCCACGATGAGACGTTTAACTGACATCCCGTCTGTCTCTTCAGGTGAATGGCAAATTCCATGGCACTATTGGAAGACGGGGTTGTTTTTTCCCAGTGTCAAGGCAAAAATTGGCTACACGCTCCATGGCTGTTGTGACCACCTACAAAATGAGCACTGGACTACATAACCAAAATGTCAACATGTCACCAATTCTCTTCCTAAAGGTGATGCAGACGCGGGCATTTTCCCCAGGACTTTCACTAAACTTTCTCAATTGACCACTTCTTTTAACATCCTGGACTGGTGCAGAGGTTAGGGGTGGGGGGAGGGAGAAGCGAAAGAAAAATCATCGCTATTATCAAACGTCCACTTCCAGCAGCTATCACTACACCGTGTCTTCGGTCACCTTTCCACCCCTACCCACCTCTTGCCTTCCTCTCGACTCCAACCCCCAGCTCAAGTGTAAACCCTTCACGGTCAAGCACCTTGGGTTCTCTCGAAGTGAAAGGAGCTATATAAATGCAATTTGTCGCTGTCCAGTGAGAAATCAGGATGAAAATGTTTGCTGATCCTCACCCCTCTCTCAAGGTCAAACATCAGGACTAATTGCACTGTTCTACCCCTGCTCTGGCTGAGATTTTGAAATGGATCACTGATCACAGATCAAGACTTCGGGAATTGCTGGTCTGACTGGCTCAGTATATTGTTCACTCAGACATGAGAGGTCAAGAGTAGCATCTCTGTAACTACTTGTATTCCAGCCAGTTCTCAGAAATTATTAAATAGACACATTCTAGTGAAATGTGCTTTAATTCCTGCACTTTGGTTTGCTGGTATTCATTGTTTGTGGTCTACTATGTTGTACAACATCAAGGAGCTATACAACTGAATGTGCGCTTTCCGACAGGGAAAGTGTCAGAGTAAGTCACCCTCTGCAATATATAGTATATAAATCTAAAACAAGGCACTGGGACCACTCAGCAGGTCAGACAGCATCTACGGAGAAAGGAAAGTGAGTCAATATTTCGGGTCCACAACCCTTCGGCAGAACTATATATAGTATATAGTTTGGGACATGATATGTGCATGCGACTACCAGGTTGGTGGAAGGCAAACTGGATGGTCCTTGGTCTTCTTTTGCCTAGCAAGCCTTATGTTCTTGTTTTAACATACACCACCATTATAGTTTCACCAGAAATACAGGAAGAAATAAGAATATCTTCATATTTAAAGATCCTTTCCTATATTCGTGGTGAAATTGTGCTGACCTTATTTTTCGTCCGAATGTACTGTCCTGGAAATCTGAAACAGCATAAAATGCTAGAATTCCAGGACACTACAGATTTGAACAAGAGAGTAACTTCAGGCAGAGCTTGAGAGGACGGAGCAATACACCCAACATTAACCAAGCTCTCTCCCGTACCGACTGGTGTGATTAATAAGCACGCTGGGAAAGAGTACCAAGGTGGTGTGCGACCAGCTCAGCGATCAATAGCTGACCAGAAACTAGAAAGACCGAAGGCTGAATTTCCTCAGTAACTCTGGCCTTTTATCATTTTTATTAGAATCTTACATTTGGCCTCTATGAATTCCAACCACTTTGAAGGTCATTAGAAGGAAAAGAATGGAAAGCAGTAAATCAACCTGGTTGAAGGCGTTTTTCAACTCCATGGTGACGCCAATGACATGGTGTTGGAAGCCAAGGCTGACCTATCTTTGTTTTTCTCTCATTCTCCAGAGATGTTCATACCCACTGGTGGGGGTGGGGGGAGGAATTTCTTTTGCAAGGAACCAAAAGATTATTCATATTTGTATCAGTGTTAGGCTCAGACTGCCTTTAAGCAACTAACTGCAGTGTACTGGTTAGAGCACTCGCCTCGCAAGCGAGGGGACCCGAGTTCAAAACTCTAGGCAAGTTTTCGTACTTCACACATCTGTTTACCAGCAGTAAGTAGGAACCCGGTTGTTAGTCGATTGGCAGATCGCATAACTGGGTAATAATGCCCTCCAAGAAAAAATAATAATTTGGTCACTTAGTTCACAACTGTTTTTGGGCCACTGCTGTGTGCAATTGGCTTTTGCCCCCCCCAAAAAATATAATCAATTTACTTTACAGTATATTCTGTGAGATGTCTTGATGTGATAAGGCTCTATAGCAAATGCAAGCATTATTATAACTAGATTCCTGATTTTGCATTTAAGCACGGTAGTGCATTGTTATCTTTCAACGTGAGTAAAATAATAATTTGTCAAAGAGTAAAAGGAACAGTTTAACCTGTGCTTTGCTATGCTTTGAAGACATCCTATCAGAATAGTTACTGCACTATTGATGGTGGTGGTTAGTTACATCTGGCAACAAACATCTTGACACAAAGCAAAACCAAGAAGCCTGGTTCCTGGGACCTACTCTGTGCAGCTATTCTGTTTAGACACACAAGCCATTGGTTCAAAACTTTTAGTTTGTAGGATCACGCAACACTAAACAGAACTGGAACCAGACAATCCTTTTTTCTCAAAACTGCTGTTTCCTGGCACTGAGTCCACTCAGCCTGGTAACCGAGCAGCCAGTATATTATAACTTCCAGTGGTTTACAATGAGTCAATACTGGATTCAGTTCTGAACTTTCAAAGCCATCAGTTCGTAGAATCCTATCAGTTCATAAGGTCTGTGATCCCAAAGCTGTTCGCACAGCAGTACTGAATGTCTTGTCAATATGTGTACTTGGTCGCCACAGTGCTGACCTGGATTCAGGAAGAGAATTGCTTATCCCAGACAGCCAAAGACAGGGAGGTGAAAAGATCTTGTGCTGGGAAGTGCCTGACTATGCTTGTGGCACATGAAGTCTAATCTTATTAATACCCAATACCACAAACCCAAACTTCCAGCAAGGATCTCAACAACCTTGAACCCTGGCTGATAGTGTCTCTCCAGCCTAAGGCTTCAGGGACTAAAGGAGGATGTTGTCAGCTGAGATCAGTTAATTCATCAGATTCAACAAATGAAACCTGGGACTTTGATGGGTTTTTCTCAAAGATTCTTAAATATTGCCATTGCTTTCTCAAACTATGATCATTACCTTAATGTTCACCCATCAAGACATCTTCACCAAAACTGAACCCTCTCGCTGCTCCTTCGCCTTGTGTGATCGCAACAAACGAAGCTGGGTGTCACACTAAACGGGTGCTGAAATCAACTGGGGGAAGGTGAGTAATATAGGCTAACACTGTGTACTACATCTGTTATTACAACTGTAATTTTAGCCTGTACAAATTGTACAGGCAATCTTGACACATGAAAAACACTCAAGACATAAAACACCTGGGTATAAAATATAAAGCAGGGTAGCAGTTACTAAAATTACATGCTTTCTTATTGCTACAGTGATTTTTGCTTTTTTTTTGTACCTCAACTTGTTCTGAGCATATAATTTGCATAAATTATTCAAGTTTATAAGAAAAAATCCACACGTCGTCACTTGATGCTACAGTATAGTTAATATATAAACAAAATGTTCTAAGGTATCTCTTTATTAAAAGAGAAATAAAAATGTCATTTGCAACTGGAATTGAGGCCAAGTACAAGGGCTAGACCTTGCATTGTAGTTACTAATACCAACACAAACAGCAGCTGTTGGCTGAACTGGTGGAACCAGGTCTATCGATGTTCAGTTCACCATATTCATACAACGCCTACACTTTTTTTTGCTTTTCTTTTTAAAAAGGACTATGAATGACCAAAGACTAACATTTATAATTTGTAGCAAAATTTGGTTTATGTAGAAACAAGCCATGTTTGCATTTGGATAGATTGAAATGAGTTAAAGCTAAAATTAAAAAGCAATGATGCTGTGACATCGGGTCACTTGTTGAAGACCTCACTTTTAAAGTGGTTAATTTGCACAATTTTGTACTTTTATACTAAACAGCATTTTTCCTTCTTTATGAACCAGAAAAAAAAACTAAACTACAGATAAACTCCCTACCTTGAGCTAGTGCTGCAGATAAGGCTGACAAAGCTGTACAGCGCAATCAAACATACTTACATCTTAGCTCATTTTACAGGTACAGCCATAATCAAGGCACAAAGATCTTCTACAAGTTATTTTCAATAAAGTTGTACAAAATAATACATTTTACAGTCTGTACAAGAATAATAATCCAGCAGTAAAATAAAAAAATGGAGGTGGAGAAGAGGAACGAATAAGGGGAGAGAGAGTAGAGAAGGCAGGAGAAGGAAGAGGAAATCATTAGACTACAGTCCAGTTAATGGACAAAGCTGATGTTCATCTGTAGAGAACTGAGACAGTGTGTGTGGTTAATTCTTTCTACAATCACAAGCCAAAAGCAGTTCATCACGTTCTAGGTCCAAGGACTGCCAAAGACTTTTATTTTATTTAAAACTTCCCCCTAAAAGCAGCAAGGTTTTATTGGATCTCTCTCTTTTTGCACTGTTCAGATCTGCAACATCTCCGCTCCACACCATGTCAGGCCTGGATAACATCACAGAGGAGGTCTAGTCTTCAGCTTGGACTTGGCACCTTCATGTTTTCTGATGCTGTGAATGGATAGGTTCGATAGTATGGGTTTATGTGTGCACACAACAGCGCGGTTTACCTGGGAGCAAGGTTTTCCCAATTGTGTTTTTTTTGTGTTTTTTAAAATCCTTCAGGTACTCCTTGTTCAGGGCATTTTTTTTNGTTTCGTTAAAGTAGTAGGGAGACCCACACGGAAATGGCCGTCTAGGTGGTGCCATCTCACACTGTCCGGGGACAGAGGCAAGCAAAAAGTGCTGCTATTGTCCAGCAGGGAGAAGAGTGGAGGCAGTTCTCTACCACCCTGTGTGGGCAAGTTAAATGAGGAATAAAGAGTCCAAAACACAGAAACAAGTGCTCGCCATCACAATAACTCATACTGACGAAGGTGCATACGTTGAATAATGTCCCGACAGTCATTGAACACCCTGCGGATGTTCTCTGTATCCACTGCGCATGTGAAATGAGGGTAGCAGTAGTGCCTTCCGTCACCACTTGCTGTGCTGATTCTCTGTAAGGCAAGGAGAGAAACTGTTAGCCCTCAAATGTAACCAAAATCAACACAGTCAATCTTTAAACAGATTTAGTCCATCACAACAGCAGGTATCACCTTCACCTGTATCTCCATCACCAGTGACTGGGGAGGTGAGTTACTATCACCCACCTTACCTCCAGCACAAGTCTCTGGGTTCCGTACTCAACAGTAGGGTTACCAACCTTGCCTTCATTCAATGGTTGACCCCAAAATACAGGTAGTGCTGCTGTAATATGCAACAGATGATCAGGCATTACTGGGCCTTGTAGTGGGAAGAGAAAGGAATCCAAATGCATGGAAGGATCCCTATCCTTCCTGATCAAGGAATTGATATATTTCTGTTCTAGTGGCACACCATTGCTAGAGGTAGTTTGAAGCACTAACCAAGGAAACTTTTCTTCCTCTCGCTTAATTATTTCCTTGGCTTCTGGTGTGAAGAATCTTTTAACATGTAAGGAACTCTGCCTTTCAGAGAGAAAGTGCTCTGTACAAGGAGTTATCTCAGTTTAGAGATCTGCACAGAATTCTTCAGCTCTCCAGATTTCCGCAATTCTTTAATAACATTATCTGTGGCTCCAAAAGGAAACTTGAAATTCTGAAATAAACTGCTAATATTTTGCATTAACTAGATATGTGATCTGCAATACGTCACTTACAGCAGCAAGAGAGAAAAACCACCATGTCTACACTAATCTATGCTATTTCCAATGGGTGAAGGCAATGATTCTGGAACACTCTTGCGTCTCTTTCTCCACAGTCAACATTTTGGATGCACAAATTCTTGGCTGGACAAGCTATATTACTTTTTTGTGGAATAGTAGCACAGAATCTGGCAGATGAACTTTTATACAGGCCTTTATTCGTGTAAACAGCTTTAGTGTTGCTCCCACTGGGCATATTCAAGTCATACCCTAGTTAAGGTGTTCCTAACCTATTTTGCTCTCTCCTAACCAGGATCAATACAAATATAGAATGTTGAACAGAGACCTGAAATGTTGTAGGTGAACTTACCAGAAACTCATCTCTTATGAAGTACTTGGCTCTTGTGACCCTTGGATCTTCACCAGGTTCCGGTGATGCTGTTTTAGAGTTAGACGACAATACGTCATTCCAGGCACAAATAATAACAATAATAATCCTTGTATTTGATATAGCGACTTACCAAGTCACTGCATAGAAGTGTCCCACAAGCAGTTGTGGATTATGTAACCAAATTATTATCTTTATCTATTTTTTGAAGGGATTATTTCCTAAGAAAGTAATCCGCCAATCGACTAACAACTGGGTTCCTACTTACTGCTAGGGAAACAAAGGCATGTTGGGTAAGCAAACTTGCCTAAGGTTTAGCCCTGCCCAGGAATCGAACCCGGGTCCTCTCACTTGTGAGACAAGCACTCTAACCACTACGCTACAGTACTCCACATAAAGTGGTTACATTCTTTAACTATCCTTAACTATTCTGGAGTGACGTATCCTTACCCAGGCAATTAGATTTTTACAGTGAGCAACCTATGACAATATTGAATGTTGCTATCCGAAGGAAAACTATTGTACAGATGCTGATAATTTGCATCTTTTATACACAGGGCATTGAATGTTATATGTGCATTTAATAAAGGTTCGAAATGGTAAAGGAAGATGAAATTAACACCAAGTTAGGAATGGCCTTCAGTTCATCTGGTATTGGAGACATTGGGCACATGATGGGGGAAAAAGGAGAAAGCACCCACAACCTAAGGATACTGATGGGTTGTGTGTCAGTCGTCAACAAGTACAGGTCACTTGTAGTAAAAGGGGCTCCAAATGAACATTGAGTAAAAGAAAATGACAAATGAAATACTTTCCTTCTGGTGGAGTCCTGTAGCTCAGTGGTTAGAGCACTCGCCTCGCAAGCAAGAGGCCTGGGTTTGATTCCTGGCAGGGAGAAATATTGGGCAAGTTTTCTTACTCCACACGCCTCTGTTTACCTAGTAGTAAGTGGGAACCTGGTTATTAGTCAATTGGTGGATTACTTTTCTGGGGGTAAAAATTCCTTCAAAAAAAAATTGGTCACTTCAATCCACGACTGTTTGTGGGGCACTGCTGTGCGCAACTGGTTGCTTCATTTCGCCCGCAAAATATAGTGAATTCACTTTACAATATTTGGTGAAGCACTTTGAGACATCTCGAAGACATGATAAGGCACTGTAACAAATGCAAGGATGCAAGGTCCACCACAATAATTGTTAATCCCAAATATCAGGTAGCAGGATGAGGAATGAGATAAGATGCTTGAAGAGGAGGAATATTAAAGGATGTGGGGGAGCGAGCAGGAGAGTGTAAATTTGGTGGCTCAAGTGGGGAAATATACCAGTACGGATAGACCAAATAGCCTGTTTTGATGCTGTGAATAACTTTGACTCTGACTAATGCAGGTATTTTGAATGATACTCAATCAATTTCAGTGACCAGTGTGTTCAAGTTAGTGATTGTTTGTGTGTGCAATCACAAATCTAATCCTACAGGAAGCTATTCTACAGGAAGACCTACTTACCATCATCAGGTGTAGTGTACCGAGCAAACTCAGGAAAATAGTCCTCAATTTTTGATTTTCCTGCCAGCACTTTGTCTGCTAGCAAATCCTGTTTATTGAGGAAGAGGATGACTGAAATGGTCCGCAGCCACCTACAGAGAGAGAGAGAGAGAGAGAGAGGGGTGTAAGTTCCAATATCTTGTTTCCATGCTAATTTTGGCCAGTTAATAGCGCAGAATTTCAACAGGGACAACACGTATCACTCACTCATTAACCTCTGAAACACTGTCAGTGACAAACAAGTGAGTGCTGTACACGATGCCTATGAGAATGTACAGACCCTTAGCTGAAGACTAGCTGCTGTGTGTCAATGATAATTAGCATTTATATCGCACCTTTCACATGAAGCAAACATGAGTGTGGTCCCCTCCCTTTCTTTCCGGCTTGCTGTCAAATTACTCCATTATTCAGCTCTCAGACGCTACTCTGTTGAAAGTGCTATGCAAATTATTGTTGATGTCTTAAAGTGTTTTATAAAATCTAACCTATCAGAAATGAAGTGAACGTAAGAGAACAGCGAACAGTTCTCCTGACAGAGACACCGCTAATCTGGAGACAGCTTGCCATGGGAAGACAAATATTGACGATTTGTAGTCACCTGTTATTCCAGATGCTTTTGAACAGGTTGAGTGCTTCTTGGAGCCGATTAGTCTGATTGTCCTCCCGGATGACCATGTTGTAGCTGCTGCTGGCCACCACAAATATGATGGCAGTGACATCTGATCACAACAGGCAGGTGGAGTGAGAGATCAGAGGTGAATCATTCAAAAAAAACTTCATTTAAAAACTACATTATTTAACCTGTAATAATCAAACAAATTGACGTAACAGTTTTTAAACCCGATTCATTAGCTGAATTTCAGTGACCAATGTATTCAAGTTAGTGATTGTTTGTGCGTGCAACCACACACGTAAATACTGCTAAACTAGCTCCCCAGACGGCTCAGCAAGTTTACTCAGTGCATAAGCTCAGGCTCGCAGAGCAAAAGATCCCAGATCCAATTCCCGGAGAGGCTGATCTCAGTGGCAGACAGAAGGGGCAGTTAGCAAACGAGCAGAGCAAGAATGCCCTCTCAGAACAGTAGTTGAGGCAGAATATTAATTTTCAAGAGGAAACAAGATGAATACCTGAAAAGGAGTGAACTATAGGAATATGGGGAAAGGACTGAAAGGATTGTTCTTAATAGAGTAACACAGACACGATGGGCCACATTGCCTTCAGCAGTCTAAATGGGTTCCCTTTCAGGGCAAAGAAAGAGAAAGTAAAATAAAACTATCCAAGGTTTCCCAATCCAGATAGCTATTGAGTGACCTTGCTAGAAGTGTATAGGTGAACAGAATGAGGTTCAGTTGTGATTGACCTCTACCCGTCAAATAGCATGCAGGCACTCACAATAAAGAATAACACATAAATGATGGCCATATGAGTGAGTTACTGGAGGGGAAACCACTGCCATGGAATCGTAACTCAACAGAAGGAAAGTATAGGAAAAAAAAGTTATAGGGATAGAGGAAGGAAAAAATGAGGGTTAAGAGGGAAAAACCAGATGGTGGTGGTGCATTTTGAGTCCAGCATCACGTTAGTGCGAGCCCAGCACGTTATTAGTCTGAGCTTTGCAGGTCAATAACTCAAAATCTAGGGTTACAATAATAATCCTTGCATTTCATATAGCGCCTTATTACGTCTTCGCGACGCCTCAAAGCGCTTCTCAGAATATACTGTGAAGTGAACTGACTGTATATTTTGTGGGAGAAACATAACAGACATAGAATGGATCAGAATCTCAAATATCTGTATCACCATCATGTACAACATTACTGGTATATCCTGTCCCAACATCCTCCTGCTGAGCCTTCCAGCTGACACTCACTTTCTTCCCTGCTGGTTCCTCGATTGCATGCTACCTTTCTTCTGCTCTGTCTCTCTGGTTCTCACTTGTCTATCTTTCAGGAACTCCTTGTTCCCCACTGCTCTCCATGCTGGCTGTATTTTTATAGAGCTTCCTGATGTAAACAGTGGGACTTGTTATCACAAATTCAACTCCCAAACCATTCTAACCTGCGACAACGGATTGTAATTCCAACCCACACATCTTAATTACTCTCCAATCAGCAAAAGATACCACAAACATCTAAAAAGGCAAGTTATATTTGTTAGTTACCCTGGAGGGACATCTAAAGGAAACCCACCAGGACAGTTAAGCGTATGGAAAATGAGCAAGTTTTGATGCAATTATTTTATTTATAATTTGTTCATAAACTCACTATTTTCTGATTTATATCCTCATAATATAGATTTTCCATGAACAGAAGCTTTACAAATGGCATAGGAGCAAGAGACACAACAAAAGCAATAACTGTACTAAAGTGATGCACTTAGTGCTGGCTGGGGACTGGGACTGCGCCAGTTAGTCCAGAATACACATCCCGCCACCTGATCTCATAACGGCAGTGATTGCAGGCTCATTGTCATACAAATTAATAGTATTAGTTTCTCCCAGACCACTTTTGTCAGCTGAATTCCTGAGTCATTGGTTGATCACACACAGTTCTACTATGGGCCTTGGAGTCTTAATTTATAAACGTTCCATGGAGAGGGGAAGGGATCAGATGCTGTGCTACTGCAGCAATGGAATCTCTTGATAATGCACGTCCCATCGTTCTAAAAGAACCGTGTAGCCAGTCTCGGAGCATCTCGCCAATTGCTTGGCCGAGAGCGGATCACAGACCCAATCAAACCCAAGCAAGAGACACATGTTAAGGTTGAACAATTAACCTCTTCTATTTCCTGATCTGCTGTCAGTTTGTTACCCTGTATAAAGCCCCCGATAACCTTCCCATGTGTAGTCACAGCCACACTCCTTGAACAAGGAACCGACTGCATTCAAATACTCTCCTTACCATTGAAACATTGGATCCATTTCCTGCGTTCATCTCGCTGGCCTCCAACATCAAACATGCTGCAGAACAAAAGGGATCAAATCAGGCAGATTCTTTTACAGACAAATATTTAAGGTATTGCTGACTAACACCTGGGAGCTTTACAGTTTTGTCACCGAAATTTCAGGATTTTGGTGATTAAGCATTTATTCTGGTCACTGATATTTTATTTTAAAAGAACATTTTTCAATGAAAAGATTCCCTAAACAATTTCATTACACACTTGATGCTTCACGAAGATGAGGTGCTTATTTTATGAAGGACATCAACCACCTGCGTTAAAAGAGTATTTATGTAAAAGGAAGTCTCAAAGTGCAGAACAACTTGAGCTTTGTTTGCATTGAAAATAATCTTGGAAATGTCAGGGTCGAATGAGTAAGATTCAAAAGGTATTTTAAAAATTGCAACATTAATTAAATATGTAGGGGCTCAAATACAAAGAGACTGTGGCTTAAAAATCTTTCTGTGATTAGTGAAACTATGCTACCATGCAACAAAACATAAGAAAGTTGAGAAAAGAGGGAATAACAGAAAGGGACCAGGCATCCCAGCTTCTTACTCAGTGACAGGGAGTTCTGCAGGAATAGTAAATCTAGGATGAAACATTTCATAATTGATGTATTCATGCCTGAAGTTTTCTTTCTATCAAATCAGCGGTTTCCAGGCATGTGACACTGGAGCACTCAGGCTAACTTGCTAATAAATAATAATGTCTCTGCACACCGCAAGGCACAGACCGGGCACTGCACTCAGCACAATGAGTACACAATCACAGCCGATGGAACAGCATATCCTTAAATACTGAATCTCCCCTATCAAACCAAATGGTCATACATCTGTGTCTGGCAGGCAGAGCAAAGTCTGGATTAGAACACCAGAATTCTCACAGCGCAGGCTCAGCAATTAGTCAACACTTACTGAAAGTTTACTTTCTCGACTTGAAACCTGGTTTCAAAAATTCCCGATGTCAAGACTCTGCATCGCAAAAGGTCCTTCAAACAGAGAGAACATTAGTGTGAATGGGAGTCAGGACCTCAAAACCAAGCACAAGGCACAAGTTCAATTTAGACTTTTTTTTCAAACAAAGCAGAAACTATGATATCTGTAGATGAATGAGAAGTACTTGTTTCTGCTTTGAACGGGCTCGTTTGTCTATATCTGGAGATATACAGCACCGGGAGCAGTCATTGTTTCCAAACAGCAACATGATAGATAACAGCTCGATGGCAGATGTTAGTGGATCAACCAAACATGGCTAGAATTTCAAGCACAGTACTGCAGCCATTTTACAACTTGCATTATAGTATCTTGGTAGTACTGCACAGCAATGGTGAGGGCGAGGTGGTTGAAGACGTAGGACTTAAGATGGGGCTTTAGGCTAACAGGTAAAATCTACTTCACTATATTATATCCCTTAGCTCATCTGAATCTTTATTCCATACTAACATTTGAGGCTACATCAAACAGCCTCAATAATTGCCCCAAGTTTAGTAAAATGGTCAAGATAATCACATCACCATGAACAAGCTGAATGTCACACCTGAAGGGAGCCTCGGAGCTTACTTTAATGTTGTTGGCACCAATTACTTGAAACAGTATTGAAAATAGATCTCCATTAAAATAAAATGAGTTGTTCCAGTGCATTAAAATATGTTAAATCTGCACTGATCATAGCAAAACAGATCTCCAGGGGGTAAAACACAGTGCAGCACGAAACTAACCAAACCAGGAAGCTCCCACATTTAATTTTTGCTTTACATTCATTTCAGTCAGGTTGGAAACTGTGAGGAGTGTCTATACCAGGGTTCCAAATCTTATCTGAAAGCCTGACCACAGTTGGAAGCTTGCACCAGGTGAGGTCAGGGTAGGGGTGTGATGTCAATAGTCATTGGCTGAAAAGTGTTGGGAAAGTTTCAACTCACTTCAGAGCGGGAGCTTTACTCTTTGTCTATCCTGATCTAATAGGGTTTTCAGAAGAACTTCAGAGGGTGGTGATAATGTGGAACTCGCTTCTAGAAGCAAAAAGCATCAATGTATTTGAGATTTGCATATGAAGGAGAAGGGATTAGAAGGGCTGGGGGCGTCTGTGGAGTATAAATACTGGCACAGACTAGTTGGGCTGTATCACTCATAATTTTTCTGGCTAATGACTAGTGCTTGAATGGGAAATTGTATCTATTCTCTAGCGGTCACCATACTGATGAGCACAATTAAAAGTTTACAATCAAATGTAAAAGGGATGTTCCCCTTCCAGGTCAGGAACCACTCAAAGGGAGGCTGCACTTGATCTAATCAACTGCAACACAACGTTAAATTTTCCCAGACAACTACTGTTCCAAAAATAGATCAGGGCTGTTTACATATAAACCACCTGGTGGCAGACTCCTGGTAAAGAGTAGAATCAGTGGCTATTCATAGCAGCAGTCACCTTTGCACTATTATAGCAAGCTTCAGATCAGGAACATGTACAAACACAAGCCACAAGTTATGTGATAAGGAATGCAAACAGTGGTAAAATTCACCAGAGCTAAAGAGGTGAGTATCGTTCAATGCTCTGACAATTTCTTCCCTTCGCCATTTAGACTTCCCTTCTACTTAGAACACAGTACGTTCAAAGCTCCCCGGGGTTATTGTTACAACATTTATACAGCATCGTTTACATAGGACGAGTGTTAAACAGTTTCAGAAAGACTTGTTGGGGTGGGGAACTCATTGAGCAGGGAGGAGAAGCCTCAACAACCACGTGACTATAGACGACATTGTTCATCATGCAAACCCTCTGCATTAAGACCACGGTTAGCCGGACCACTGTGTGCGTGTGATAGGAGTGACCAGCAGGAGTCTACACATGCATGAGTGGGTCTGCAGACATTTTTTTTTCTTCAACTTTTCCATTTCGGGCCCAGTTCGATTGGGCTTATGTATCAACGTTTTGCTCTTTAAGTAGTGGCCAATATAAAACAATCAATCTGTAAGAAGTCAGTTGGATACAGACTGTAGGAGGAGCCCGCCCAGAATGATTGTCGACCACTGAGTTGCCAGTTAAGCATGGTATGCCAGTTAGGAGTGGTGCAAGAAAGAACTAAAATAGAACCCATACCTGGTCTGGAGGTATGTAGTCCATCTGTTTGACTATGTCGATCCGGTCTAGAAAGCTGAAAAAGAGAAATATATACGAATGAGCACAGATGAACACTGAGAATGGACAGAGGCAAGTTTGGATACAAGCAAACCGACAGAATTTAAGCTGTGCTCTCCTGTCCATTGGCTGACACTAAAGAGACAAAGTTGAGGGCCAGGATTGATTCGAGGGCTGTGGGACCAAAATGGGGACTTAATGCCACAAGTAAAATTTAAACTGCTACAAGGTAATATGAGTGCTTTGCCAGTTGCGGTGGTGATGAGGATCCCTGTCCTCCTGACAAGGTGATGAGTCATCCTAATAATGTGTGCAAAATACTGATCAGGATTGCACCAGCTTCTTTGTAATGCTGTCAGCAACCTTGCCAATTGTCATTGTAGGCGGGCTGAGTTCAACAAATAAAACACGGACAATGGCGAATATCTGGCCTTCTGCTTTAGTTCCTGGCCAGCAGGATACCTCCACCCCAACAATGCTGCAGGTTTGTAATCAGTGCGAGCCCCTTCATAAAATGTCAGCAGTGAAAAACAGGCTGTTCAGCCCACCGAGTGCATCCTGGTGTTTAAGGTGCTACCCTAATCCCACATTGCTGCTTGCTCTCTCATGTCCTTAAATGTTCCACCTCCCAAAGCATCGAGTTAACAAATTTTAACTATGTTTTGTGGCAGACAATTCCACATTCCAAGCACGCTCAATGTAAAAACAATTTTGTAACCTCCCTTCAATTCCTTTTGTCATGATCAAAAACTTGTGCCCTTGACTAAAACCTGTTACCAGTTAGACCAGAGTTTTAGAATTGTGTTCATGGATCACTGAAGTTGCAAAAAGTTCACCATTTTGTATACAACAGATCACAATTGAAACAGAGAGACGTGGGCGAAAGAGCAATAGAGGATAACAGCCTGAGGGTGCACAATACCATGTGATAGGTACTTTTTAGTCTTTTTTAATGTTGTGGATTACTAAGAACTAAACTATGCATTGCTTATTTGACAAGTATGTAAAATTTGGACTTCAAAGCACCGCACAGTTGCCTGAATAGAGTCCTGCATAGAGAGATTCAGTAATCACAATGGGCTGGTTGTTGGGAGGATGTGAAACAACCTCATTGATAAGATCATCAGATGTTGATCAGTAAAATGTATTCCTTGCTCTGTATTTTATGATTTGAGGACTTAAATATCAGCACTGCCCGCAAGTTACAGAAAGCTTTCATCAGTGAAACTCTATGGGTGAGCAGAATAGATTCAAGTGTATCTGTAATGCAATTTCACACACTGGTCAGCAGGGGGTGAGATGTTCGTGAAACCTGCCTCCTCCCCCAAATATTCCCACGAGCCGAGATAAGTCCATGGTGATTGATGGTGTGTTTCCATGTTTTTCTTGATTGAATATTTTTGATTTGGCAAAAAATCAAGAGCTATTCAATTCGAGGACATTTATTTTGTCGGACGACCATAAAGGTTGGCCACCGCTGTTTTAAAACTTGCCTGAACGTACTTATGGGCATTGCACACCTCACTGGTATATTTGGTACAGATCACAAGGCTCAACTAAACAGTGATACATCACCTATTACTTATTCCCCGCAGTAATCCCTGTGCAAGTTAGAATGCTTCTGTGCCATACTGAATGCTGTTTTCTGACAGGGAGGCAGGGGTGGTCAACCAGGAAAGCCTGAAACACCCAATTAACGTTTCTAATGCAGATAAATCAGAAAAAGGTTGGGGTTTGAAAGGAAGTTGAGACCAGTGGGAATATTCAAGCCCATATGCCACATCCTGTCTGTGCATACCAACGTCAAAGAGGAAACTGTTGGGGATCCCCTAGAATAGATGTGATTATACAATAGAGGATTAAATATAGAAAAATGAAAATGCACAACTGGATGGTAAGTATCTGGAGGAGAATATCAGTTAATGTTTTGGTATCCTATATCATATTGGTTAGAGCACTCGCTTCACAAGAAAGAGGACGGGGTTTGATTCCCAGGCGTGGCAAAACGTTAGGAAAGCTTCCTGACTCGACACGCCTCTGTTATCCTAGTAATAAGTAGGATCCTGGTTGTTAGTCGACTGGCGGATTGCTTTTCCGGGGTAATGATCTCTTCAAAAAATAAATGAATAATAACAATATGGTCAATCAATCCACGACTGTTTGTTGGACACCGCTGTGTGCAATTGGCTGCCACATTTCACGCACAAAAATTCTACACTTAAATCTCAACAGCTCAACAGACAAGTCTTTGAATAATGGGAGGGAAGAACACACTTCCCTCCCCAGTGAGTACCGGAATGTCTTGCACAGTTCAGACCTGAAACTTGCTATAAATAATCCTACTAGTTGATGTACCACCGCAACACATGAAGTCATCTCAAAGCACTTTGCAGGATATGACTGTAGGCAAACCTATTCGTATGTAGGCAAGCCTATTTACTGAGATCAGCTACAAATTGAAGGTTAATCAGCACACTTTTGTTCAACAGATGCATGGGTTGGCTGCTGTGTTTGCCCACAGTCACAACACTTCAGTAAAAACCCTGTGAAGTGCCGTTGGACGTCTCGACAGCCTAATAAGACACGATATCGAATGCAAGGATTTGTTTTCGAGTCTGACCACACACTACACAATTACCACTCCACACAGTCACTTTTCATCACAAGAGAGACACACACAACAGAGAAAAGCAGATAGACACACACGAGAAAGACAGACGGGCAGACATACACATGGAACAGGCAAGAGACAGGAAGACAGACACACGAGAGAGAGACAAGTAAACAGACGTGCACACACAACAAAGAGAGGCAAACAGTCACACACCAGAAGAGAGACAGGCAGACAGACAAAGACAAGAGGTACATTAATAATAATAATAATAATCCTTGCATTTGATATAGCGCTTTTCACGTCGGGAGGACGTCCCAAAGCGCTTCACAGAACACACGGAACATTACACAAGAGGAAGAGAGAGAGACAGACAGACGAGAGAGTCACACAGACAGACATCCACACACTGAACAAATAGAAACAGAGAGAGAGGTAGAGACACACACACATAAACGAGACACTGAGCTAGCCATACACAGGACAAACAGAAACAAAGTGTGTGCATGGGGTGGTGGGCGGGAGGTAGAGAAGTGAGTAGACAAAATGCTGCAATAGGAAAGGTTGAGACATTGAAGGGGATATCACAAAACCGGAATGTGGGGCAGCTTCCACTGGGATACAAACAAGGGAATTGAAGACGATCGGTTGAACAGACTTGGCTAGATTTCAGCCTATGCTCCATGCCCTCCCCCCACCCATGTGGATCCCTGAGTGATCTTACCTGCTCCCCATCGCCTAGACGGAAACAACCTTAAAAAAACAGGATCATGAACAGTTGCCATAAGTGCCCTCATTATGACAATCCTCCTGGCCCTCCTTATCACCACTGATTCAGTTGCGAGAGGGCAGGAAGAGAAAGCAGCTCAACTTGTTCCCTGGTACACCAGTCCTCCACTCCCTCAAGGGTCATGTGTGGGCTGCCGAACATACATGGCTCAAATCTGATCTAACGGTCCACCGGCAGATTTGGCTGGACCACATCAAAACATACCACTCCGACCTCGCCTCTGTAAAATCGTCCTTCTACTCCAAGATAATCTTGGAGTCCAAGGATAAGCCCAGGCACTTATTCTCCACCACCAACTGGCTCTTCCGTCCACCCTCCCACGTCTTGCCCATTCTTTCCTCAAGCTCTGACTGTGAGGAGATGCTGGATTTTCTCGAGTCCAAAATCGAGGGATCTGTTCAGCTTCCTCCGCCCTCCCAACTGCCATTCTCTCCCACACACTCCGACTCCTACCGATCCCTCCCTCCAAATTTTTGAACTTGTCTCCCCCTCCTCTCTCATCACCACTATATCCAGCATGAAACACACCACCTACTCCCTTGACCTCATACCCACCACTCTCCTTACCTACCAGCTCCACCTCTTCACCCCTCTACACCATCAATCTCTCCTAATCATCTGACACCATTTCCACTCCCCCTAAAAACAGCTATAATCACCCCCATCCTGAAAAAACCTTTCCAGGCCCAACCCTGCTTTTTAACTACTGGCCCATCTCCAAACTCCCTTTTTCTTTCCAAGGTCCTTGAAAGAGTCATTGTTTCCCAGCTTCGCTCCTTCCTCTCCCTTCACATGCCCCTCCAATCGTGTTTTTGTGCTGCTCACAGCACGGAAACTGCTCTGGTCAAGGTTACAAACAACATCTTGTCCATCTGTGACCAGGGCTCCCTCTGCTTCCTTGTCCTCCTTGATCTCTCTGCTGTCTTCGATACTGTGAACCACTCCATTCTCCTCCATTATCTCTCCTCTCACCTAACCTTTAAGGTCCTGTCCTTGAATGGTTCAGGTTTTATCTCTCACACCATCTCCAATTTGTGTCCGCCAAGGGTTTCTCTTCCAGCCCGCTCACAGTCTTGTGTGGTGTTCCTCAGGACTCAGTCCTCGGTCCCCTTCTCTTCAATTTCTACATGCTCCTCCTTGGTGACATCATCCACCTACATGGGGTCAACTTCCACATGTACGCAGAGGACACCCAACTTTATCTCTCTGCCTCCACCCTCGATTCCAGGACAACTGACGTCCTGACGGACTGTCTGTCAGACATCAAGTCCTGGATGAGAGCCAATTTTCTACAGTTGAATGACAGCAAGGCTCTCCTGATTGGCTCGTGCCAGCGCCTCCACATCTCAGACTCTGGCAGCAACAGAATCTACGGATGCACACTCCACCACACCAAGCCCGTCAGAAACCTGGGCATCTAATTTGACCCTCAATTGTCCTTTCTCCCCCATATCCATGCCATGACCTGCTCTGCCTTCCCCCACCTCCACAACATTGCCTGACTGTACCAGTGCCTCATCCCTCCAAAACCCTCATACACTTATTCGTCACCTCAAGGCTCAACTAGGGAAATGCACTCCTTGTCGGCCTCCCCAACTCTTCCTTCCACAAGCTG